CCACCACCGCCCGGCTTATTGTACTTCTTATATATAGGTTTTCTTATATTAGTTATAACCTTTTATTATTTTAGGCAAGAAAGGGGAAATGTGGTAATATATTGTGTACCCTAATAAACTTGCCTGAGGATCAGAAGACAGAGCCAGCCACTAGATTAGACATAGAGGTCAGGCAGTGGTAGCACACACCTTTAATCCCAGCCCTGGAGATCTCATGCCTTTGCTTGAGAAGCACACATGCCTTTAATCCCAGGAAGTGATATGGCAGGGCAGAGAAAGGTATATAAGGAGTGAGGAAACAGGCACTCACTCTCTTCAGACTGAGGATTTCACAGAGGTAAGAACTGGTAGCTGGCTGTTCTGCTTCTCTGATCTTTCAGCTTTTACCCTGATATCTGGCTCTGGGTTTTTTATTAAAAGACCATCTAAGATTCGAACAACACATACTTGTAGGTTTTAATAATTTGCAATTTAAGGAGTAAGAAAAGTGTATTATAAAATGTCTTTATTAGAGTCAGTGGAATTTTCTACTTCTCAAATCATACATTGATTTTCATAGTCTCTTTCTATGCCCCTTCATTGAATGTGTACATGGATACATGATGAAGTAGCTATATGTTTCACTTTTTTTGTGGGATAGTGAAAACCATGAGGCTTTTATTTCAAGTGATGACTCAGGCTACAGATATCCTGCTTTATCCCTCGCATTTGGGCACATTCGTCTATCCTATCTGGAGACTGAGAGCAGGGAGAAGGAAAATCTGCATTGTGTCCTGTACTTCCCTAAGTAACTATCTGTGAGGCTAACATAGAATCCATAGCATCAGCAATAGGAAGTGGTTTCACCTATAGCAAGTAGGCCAGGCCGCTGCAGCTATCATGATTCTCGGACATGAGAATGGGTTTTGAGTACAAATAGAACGCTAGTGAGTGATTCTTATCTGTGAGGGAAAACTAAAATTACAATACAGAAGAGTTGCATGTTTTTCAACAGAGATCACTTGGAAATACTCACAAATATCTGATTATAAAACAGTAAAATCCAGAGAACAGAGAGAAAAGTTCTTTTCTTGTGAGATCTCAATGTGTTTGAGAGTATTGAGACACCCAAGTTTGTTAATTACTACTTGGGACGTTTCAGAATGACTGTCTTAAAATGCATGCTGGTTAAACACGAGTGCCCTGCTGTGCCCAGCTACTGGCTCAGGGCTCTTCAAGAACTCAGTGACACAGTTCAGAATCATAACTGCCAACCAAGCAGAAACTCACTTGCACTGAGTCCAGAATTTTGTGTGGCAATAGCATTTTTAATTAAAAGTTTCCCAGCTCCTAAATTTGGAACTGAATCTGTAAACATGTGGCAGATTGAGCTACCAACCCAAGCATTATTGGAGCTGTGGGGAAAATGTGACTTTTTACAAAATCAGATGGGTAAGCTGAGAAAATCCAGCTGTGTTTATTTCAAATTGCACTCATCAGAGCTCTTGTACTCTTTTCATTTCACCAGTGCATCCACTGGTTTGTGTGTGATAGCTCCCCACCCCCAGCCATTCACTTTTCTCTTCGAAGACTGATTGAAGTGGTGACGAAGGCTCAAGCAATCTGACAGGCATTTACTGTGGTAACAGGAAGCCTCTCTTGTAGTTTGTATCCTAACTCAGTCAGAAGCAGCAGGTAGTCTTCATGAGCAATTAGAGTTTTAACATGGAAGTCCATAAGTTGACAAAGAGCTCAAGACTCTGCTAACCTTAAAATAGAGATGTAGTGTTCCTTAATTAATGTAAAATTGACCTCTAGGAAGCAGTTTCCCAGTTAAATTAAGGAACAGCCACATTGCATTATTCCTATGTAGTGTTTGCAGTAATGGTAGTCAGGAGAAGAGCTGGAGCTGTAGTCAAGGAATGCACTTTATCTTGATGAAGGCCCTTGTCAGGCTCACCTTGGAAAAGTTGCTTTAAATTCATTATCCTACCAGTAAATACCCATTCTGTTCTGTTAGGGAAGTAAACTGGTGGTACCAGACTCTAAAGCTCTAGGTAGAAGATCTGCGGGAAATCAGTTCATGTGGAGAAGGTACAGGAGGAGGTAACATGGTCAGAGGTGACCTGGGGTTTCTAATGTCATATTGAAATGTTTGGACGGGTAATGCCTCCTTCCCCCACTCTACCCTTGAGCCATCCCCAGGTGTTTGGTCTTCTGTTCACTGTAATCATGCTTCTGTGGGAATTACTTCTCAGAGACACTGTCCTCTCAATACAGGAAGAACTTGCTCATTTATTCAGTAGTAATGTTGAACATACTAGACTTTGGCTATCGATTCACGTGTGTATATCCACATTTTGAACTATTGGAGATTCCGAACTATGTATTGATTATTGAAATTTCAGTAAGTAGCATTTTAAGTTATCCAAATGGTTAGACGATTAGAATGAGCTTTTATAGCAGCTATTGGAAGTTGGACTATACTGAAGAATATTGAAAAAAATTATTTTATTTAACTTTCTGTAAAGTTAGAGAATAACTTTAAACCAGATAAATCTTGCAAAAAGAGACATTTAACTAGGGTAGGCACTGCAAAGGAAACAACAGGTGAGAGGTTGTACTTGCAAGAAGAGAGATAGGGAATAGCATCTAGTGGGAGGGTAGTGGGCAATCACATACAACAAGCTAAAGCTTCCTAGTTCTGTCCCTAAGCAGTTTCTAATAAGCGATCAGTCCCCACCCCCAGAGCTGCCTTTCTCACCAGCCTTTGACTGAGAACTGATGGGAATGGCCCTCACTGCTCCCTCCTCCCTTTTTAAAGCAGTCACCTTTACCATATTTGCAGAGCATGCTCCCTGAGTCTTGCCAGCTGCAGCTTCTCCCTGCTGCCTTCCAGCTCTAATCTTAAAGGTGTAGCACCATGGCAACAGGCCCAGCCTAGAGCCCTGGAACCTTGTTTGTATTACCTGAGGGGCTAGATGCAGCCTGGAGGAATAGGGATATCACCTGCACTGCAGGCTTGGAGATCGATCGAGGACTTGTTCAGTTGTTTGTGTTTCTGTCCTGCTTCTGCTGAAGACTTGAATAACACCTGAGAGGCGTTTATGCAAAAATGGCATCACTAACTGAAGGCAGCAGGAGACTTATCCTCATTTGGTTCCTGTCTTCTACACAGAGAGTTGTTTTCTGAGATGTAGTCCAGGAAGTGACTTGCTACACCCGGACATGTGGCACCGCTATGGTTTGGGGTTGCTCTGCCAGGTGGCTGTACAATTGCTTCATGTAGGTAGACGTTTATTTTGTTTTAAATAAAATTAACTTTTAATTTTTTGGAGATTATAAAAAAAATAAAAGAAACTTTGTCATAACACCTTCTGTTTTACATATTTTGTGATCATCCCAGAGTCAGAGCAGCTTTTTCCTCTAGCAGTTCCTCCTGGAAAAGATAGCTAGAATTGTTATTTTCTGTTTGTTTAACAAAGATGATAGTGTCCTGTTTCTCCGATCTACTTCTAATTCAGCATATTGATAAAGGCTGTTATGATAAGTTAACTAAAGTTAAAAAAAAAAGCATTTAATTACTTAAAATTGTGCCGTATTTGTACCACATAACTTGTTTTCTTGTCCAGAACAAAGGTAAATAAATACAACTGTTGCTTTGTTGATTTTTATATACACTATATTTGGTGGCTTTTGTCCATTTAGTACATACTTTGCATTATTAATGGGAACTACTATATTGCCTTTTTTACTTCAAAAAAATGCTATCAGAACACTTTTTTTTTCAGCCTAAACTTTAGATGGTAATTATTACTGTTTTGTTTTTGTTAAACAACAGGCTAAATTATCCTTATTGTTTAAGATGTTTCTTATTTATGGAGCTTGACTAAGTAGGATAGAGACAGAAGATAGTGAATTTAGTGCTAGTTTCCAGTGTCCTATTGCTTAGTAATTCAGCTAAATACTCTTCTGGCAGTAAGTACTACAGCTCCTTTCCGCGTATTATCCTTGTTCCTAGTAAATGAATAAAGCTGCTTATTTAATATTTTACCAAAACAAATGTCTGTACACAGACGTTTCTTTTAGACTTATTATTAAGACCTACTTGAAGCATAGGGGTGTTTCAGTCAGTAAGTGTGATAATTATTAACTAAAACTGTGTGGCCATCCATTTTTGAATTTAGGAAAATTGTTTTCCGTCGGGTTTGACTCCATTAACTTTTGTGATAGGAAGGCAGTGAAGTACTAGCGCCTATAGTGACAAGAGCTAGGATACCCACCATTCTTTTTAAAGGACCAGGAAAACAGAATCAGCCAAGATGCCTGCCTAGCAGTGTCAACTCTTCTCTGGGGAATTTGACTTTTTTTTTTCCCTTTAACTCTGGTGGGAAGTTTCCTCAAGGCATTCTATTCTTATTATACTGTAAAGCATGTATAGAAGTCAAAGTTTGCCAGAAGAGAATTCCATATTGAGATGGAAATGAGACTGTTTGAAAGACATTCTTGTGCTGAAGAGTTTGTCTTTCTTGCTGTTGCTCTCCCTTCCCATGCATGCCTGCCTTCTTCTCTTGCTCACTGTGTGTGCTGGAGTAGGGGTGGGATCTACCAGAGGACTCAGCCTTTGTCAGTGATACAAGGAGATAAATGATGTGTAACCTCAAACAAAATAAGAGAGAATGTCTTTTGACAATACTTTTGCATAAAAAGTGATAAAGAATTCTGAATACTGTGTATTTCTCCATATTCCAATATAGAAATGAGAATAAAAAATAACATCTGTACAGGAACTTAGAGGTCCTTTGAGACTTGTAAAGTTATTCTGTTTTTATGCTTTGTTGAAAAGGTGTGTTCATATATGCATGGTTTATGTATACCACATGAATATGACTGTTAATACTATAACTGTAGGGTATTTAGTTATCCTCCTTTTATTTTTCCCTCTTACACTTTTACATTTTTGTTAGTCTCCTTTCCTTAGATCTTCATGTAACATTGCCTTAAGTATCTTCTACTTTTAGGTCTCGTGGTCTGCCTAAACTGAAAGAGTCTCGTTCACATGAGTCCCTGCTGAGCCCCTGCAGTGCCGTGGAATGTCTGGATCTCGGTAGAGGAGAGCCAGTGTCAGTGAAACCACTCCATAGTAGCATCCTTGGTCAGGACTTCTGCTTTGAGGTAAAAGGGGAAAGAATTGCAGGAAGAAGGGAGAATAGTCGGTAATTTGGCTATTTCACTGTCATGTTTCTGATTTGATTATCTTGACTGGGTTTAAGTTCCTGAAAATTCTACTTATAAGGGAAGAGTTGACAATCTGTTAATAGAAAAAATTATATTTGTAATTGAAGTTATTGATTATCTCATGCCTTTGCCTTTGTCTGCTTTCAAAAACTTGAGCACTTAATACATTCTCAACGTAGGTTACATACAAGCTTAACAATAGCTTCTCAAACTGATGTGTTATTTCTTAATATTAAATATAAAGACGTTATACACTGTTATTTCATCCCTAATTTTAAAAGAATTTGGAGAAAAACCACCAAAATTACAGTTTTATAACTATAACATGAGCAGTTCTTGACCTAGGGCCATACCTTGTTTGGTATACCATCTCCTGCATGTTCCTAGATCAATAACTGTACATCTCAGCCACATTTCAGGTCCTCACTAACCGTCTGAAGCTAGGAGCTGCCATTTCAGACATAGCATACCATCTGATCAGATTCATTGTATTATGACCTGAGAGTCTAAGTAAACAGACTGAAGCTCAGAGCAGGTCATTTGTATGTGTTTATCATCATTATTATTATTCCTTGAAAATCACTTGAACTCTGCCTTATTTGTGAAGCTCAGTTCAGTGGCTTCTACTATGGACATAATATACTATGTTAAATGTTATAAATGACTGGAAATCAGTGGATTGGTTGCCTCCTGGAGGAGAAATGGGTTCCAGAGAGGGACTCAGCTGCACTGATGCCTTTCAGCTTCAGTTAGGAGCCTTCTGTAGCATTGTAATGAAGCAATCTTACAAAACCAAATAATTGTACAAACATTTCCCTTTTTAGTTATTTTTTATTAGCTCAAATGAGCATATTCATTCATAGGTAATTTTATATATGTCTTAAGCTTTTTTTAATTTTTTGTTTCTCTGAACCATAGGCCAAATTGTAAATGAGTTTTTTTTCTTATAGCTGGAAATAATTATGGATGCTACTTAAAGATTAAAATTTAAGTAAAGATATGACAAAATTGAAATGATTGATTGTTTTAGCTTCACATAGTAAGATTTGGGTTTCATAACATGTCCCTAATTCTTAACCTTTAGAAATTAGAAGATCGATTCCCCCACCACACACCTAGTCTTAACATCCGCATCTCTAATCTTTATGTTGAAGGTCACCTACTTAAGTGGAAGTAAATGCTTTAGCTGTAACTCTGCCTCAGAGAGAGATAAGTGGATGGAAAACCTTCGAAGGACCGTTCAGCCAAATAAGGTAATGGTGGCTCTGAGTGTCAAAAAAATATGTCACCACCCCTCTAAGGCTCGTGGATCATCTCAAAAGAGGGAACAGAAAGGATGTAAATGCAGGGAGATAGGGAGAAGGGCTGGGAAATACAGTCAGTGTACTCATCCCCTCATAGCTGCTGTGGCAGCAGACCCACACAAAACTGGGTCTGTCAACAGTCAGTCGTGGAGTGGAAAGATTCAAGGCCTTACCCCTCCCTGCTGAACTGTTGGCTACTTGTAGATTTCAGAGGAGGAGCGGTTAGAGTTCTCAGGGATGTACACACCGGAGGAGCCCATCAGGCTCTAGTGGATGTTCTAAACCCCTGATTACACAGATGTTCTTGATTAAACTCAGTGGGTCTCAGAAAGGCGGGAAGGGGATATGATGTGTAAGAAAGGAACTTGTAGAAAGGAGAGGAATGAGGGTGAGAAGGAGATTAAAGAAGGTGGGTTATGGTAATCAGAATGCATGTCAGACATGTGTGAAATTGTCAGAACAAATTCAACCGAAGTTTTTTTTAAAAATGTATCACTTGTAAGCATCAAGTTGATAGAAGACAAATATAGTAATATATTAATTTTATAGATCTTAATAATTTGTTGTTGTTGAGACAGTATCTCACTATGTAACCAGGGCTGGCCTTGAACTTGCAAGCTTTTTTGTCCCTGCCTCACAAATCCCTGGGCTGGGATTATAAGCAATTGCTACCACATCTGGCTTAGGGTTTGACAGTTTGAAAATCCTGTGTACATGTTAGGACATTTTACACTGAAAATTATCTTACTGAAGACAATATTATTGTCATTTTGCCATGGGAGTAGAGATTCAAAAAGCTAAGTGACATGCCCAGCCAGAAGTTCATATATGATAAAGTCGTACTAGAAAGCAAGTGTATTAGCAACTTACCTTTTTTAGTTTTAGAAATGAGTCCAGCCTCATATAGATAGCTGTAGGGAACTTACTGGTACATGATGATATTTTTAACCCAAGTAAAACAAAATATGTGGTTCTGTAAGATGTTTTGTTTTGTTTTGTTTTTTCCAAGACAGAGTTTCTCTGTGTAGCCCTGGCTATCCTGGAACTCACTGTGTAGACCAGACTGGCCTCCAACTCAGAGATTTGCATCCCTCTGCTCCCCAAGTCCTGGGCTAAGGGCTTGTACCACCACTGCCCAGCTTTGTAAGAGTATTTTTAAAAATATTTTTAATTACATTTATTTCTATGTATGTGTGTCAGCACAGTGCATGTGTGAAAGTGAGAGGACAATTTGCAGGAGTTGACTCTTTTCCTTCCACAGTGTGTGTCCTGGGATCAAATTCAGGTCATCGGGCTTGGCAGTGGGTGCATCTACCCACTGAACCAGTACAAGACTATTCTTTAGAGTTCTGTGGTTCAGAACAATAGCAATTCTTTTTACTAGGTTGACTGCTCTTAATAGAGGAACGTTAATAATCAGCATTACTTTAAGAACAAAATACTCTCTTTCTGGTATGTCAGATCTCAAATTCAAATTTGCTGTCTTTATAGGACAATTGTCGGCGAGCTGAAAATGTCCTCCGTTTATGGATCATTGAAGCCAAGGACCTTGCCCCTAAAAAAAAATATTTCTGCGAACTGTGCCTTGATGATACCCTCTTTGCTCGTACAACCAGCAAGACCAAAGCAGACAATATTTTCTGGGGTGAACATTTTGAGTTCTATAGCCTTCCACCTCTCCATAGCATCACAGTTCACATTTATAAGGATGTGGAAAAAAAGAAAAAAAAGGACAAGAATAATTATGTAGGGCTAGTCAACATCCCCACTGCCAGTGTGACTGGTCGCCAGTTTGTAGAAAAATGGTACCCAGTGAGTACACCCACACCCAACAAAGGAAAGACAGGAGGACCTTCTATTCGAATTAAGTCACGTTTCCAAACTATCACCATTCTGCCTATGGAGCAATACAAAGAATTTGCAGAATTCATCACCAGCAACTACACCATGCTGTGTTCAGTTCTTGAGCCGGTAATTAGTGTGAGGAATAAAGAAGAGTTGGCTTGTGCCTTAGTACACATTCTTCAGAGTACTGGCAGAGCCAAGGTAAGTCAAAAAGGGGTGTGTTACCTGAAAGTCTTTCCTTACCATGTACAAGAAAATGAAGCTGTGGATACCGGTAGATACTGTGAAAATCCAGCTTAGAACGGTTTCAGAAAAGAAAAAGGAAATTAAGGTTGAGTGAAGAAAGCCGATTAGCAGTTCTATAAGATTTGGAGATTTTTTTTAACTAAAGTAAAATGGAGGAACTAGCAAATATTTATTTCTAGTTACTTTTCATGAAGGTAGATACCATAGTTGCAGTTGCTAGGATAATCCCACAGCATGTTCAAATTCTGTTGTTACTGTTTTCTTTTTGAAACATGGTCTCACCATATTGGCCATTCTAGCCTCAAACGTGAGATCCTCCTGCCTCAGCCTCCCAAATCCCAGACTTAAAGATATGATACAGGTGTGCAACATCATGCCTAGCTGAAGTTTTTCTGGAGTATTAAATGTTGTATTTTAAGATTAACTGCTAACTGTGTCCCAGTGGTACAGAAGGAGATAATCAAGAAATGTGCTGACTGTAAGTCTTCATGGAATAAAATCTGTATCTGAAGTGGAAACACGAGGGGTGTTGTACAATTAGTTGGCACCTGTTTTATGGCAATCTTTCATCTGAATGGAAATGAACACTGGGTTATTCCATAAAATAGCATCTAAAGTGTGCCAGACACTGTTCAGTGCTGAAAGTGTGTCTTCCCTGGACATGTTGAACAATATAACACTGTCTTTAGGGGCTTTCAGTCTTCCGGAGAAACCATACTAAACGGTTATAAAAGTAAATCTGTGATTACAGTAAACAGTGCAGAGGGTACAAAGATAAATAATACTGTGGAGGTGTGGAGCAAGGGGAACTGGCAAGTGAGGCTCTAGGGCAATCTTGATCCAAGAGGGCTTCATGGAGGAAGCAGTGTGTGAACTGAGATCTAAAGGTTCCCAGAAATCAGTTTTACAATAATGGGAGTGGAGGTTAGGGGACGGAACTGAGAACAGCATTTGCAGAAGATTGTCGTGGTGAGTGGAGAACACTGACTGTGGATGGGCTGTGTGGACTAAAGGATGTAAAAAAGAAAAGAGAGCATCATGTGGGAACTGGTGCAGAGAGAACAGTACTGAGTAAGGTCGGAAAAAGAGAGAGATTTGCAGATGCATTCGGAATTATGATCTTTTTCAACAGTGCATTAGAAAATCTCTGAAGGAATTCAGAAATTAAATTTAGAGCTGGCAATATGTAAGATTTTTATCCTGACTGCCTTTTCCCTTTCCACGGAACTTGGTGGCTTAGTTTAAAGCAACGTTCCGAGGATATCTGCTATTTTGGCAGTCTCTTCTAATGTATAGTTCTTACTCAGTTGCTTTCTTTCTGACGAACATTCTTCTGCCAGGATTTTCTGACTGACTTGGTGATGTCCGAGGTGGATCGTTGTGGAGAGCATGATGTCTTGATCTTCAGAGAAAACACCATTGCCACTAAATCCATTGAGGAATACCTCAAGTTGGTAGGACAACAGTACCTCCATGATGCACTGGGTATGGAAAAGGAAGATATCTATCTTCTTTCTCTTTCAGTTTAACTTCTTTTACCTCCTAGGACAAAGAAGTTAAATTCAAATTCTGCATGCATTTCATTCATCTGACTTGAGTGATTTAGATTTCAACTGTACTGTCTCTGCAGTACTTACCAGTAGAGTAACCACACTTGTGTATTATGTGTATGAAAATAGAAAACTCATCAGTGTATATAGCCACCCCAAATCTCTGCATTTCTGATCCCAGGGTGTATAATAATATTGATGGATTTCACCTCTAGAACTTAGGTGTCCTATTTCCCCTCAAGTATTGGGTATTTATACCATAAGTCTAAAAGGCTATCTTACCATTTATTACCATGCATACAAAACTCTCATCAGAAATGAAGAAATACTTGATAGTTCCTACAGTTCTATACTTCCGTTTAAGGTCTCTAACTAGTAACTAATTTTTAACCCAATCATTAGTTGTTGATAACTATGCCACTCAAAGATCCAAATGTGGTTATGAAATTAAGCCTTTAGCTTAATTTAGTAAGGCAATGTGTTAGACGCACAGTATAATAAAGTGATAGGATAATTAAGTGCGTGTGAATTCCTTGAAGAAAATGGTGGTTTAGGGGTGGACTGTCTGTCTGTGCTAGCCTAAGCTGACCTTGTTTTCATAGCAGTCCTCCTGCCTCTGCCTCCCAGTGCTAGGATTATAGACATGAGTCACATGCCCAGCAATTTCCTGTCTCTTCATCCTCCTGGCACTTCACAGAGTGTAATACAGCACTGTACTGACAAACACAATGCTAGTCACATATATGTGACAGTATATGTTTAATGAGTAACTTCAACTTTAAGTCGTCACAGTGTAAAAAGAATAAGAGAAACCACTGAAATTAATGGCAAACTTTATTTAACCCAGTGTATTCAAATATTAACAACTGATCACTGTGGGAATAATTAATGAGGTATTCATTTTCCATACTCTGAAATTCAGTATATATTTTATATTTATCCCACATTTCAATTTGTTCTAGTTGTACTTCTAGTGCTTACCAGTCACGTAATAAGGTATGCTGAATGACTATAGAGGTTTTTGTTCACAAGGAGTTTATAATGTAAGGAAATAAGATAGGGTTGTCTGTTTAACCAAAAGAGAAATCCTGTGTTTTTGCAGAGAATTTTTTTAATGACTCCAGCTCAACAGAATTTTTAAACTTCTTGTGTGAATATACTTCTATTGTGTGAGTACAGTAAAGGTTGAAGGGTTAAAACAAACACTGTAAGGGTAGTTAGGGATCAGCATGAAAGAAACAAGAATGAGACATGAATTAAAAGGTACGGAAGTGAAGGGGAAAAGTCAGGTGAGTATGCAATACACCTCTCAGTAGAAAAAGGACATGAAGGTGGACCATGGGTAAAGGCACTTGCCACCAACCCTGGTGACCCAAATTCAGTCCCAGAACCCATATGGTGGAAGCATTGAACCGACTCTGACAAGTTGTTCTCTGACCTCCACACATGTACCATAGGCATGCTCATACACAAACACACACACACACACACACACACACACACACACACACACACACACACACACACAATATATGAAATAATAATAGTAAAAGGACATGAAAGAGTCAGGCAGTGGTGGTACACACCTTTAACCCCAGTACTCAGAGGCAGAGACAGGTGGATCTCTGTGAGTCTGAGGCCAGCTTGGTCTACAGAGTGATTTCTAGGACAGCCAAGGAAACCCTGTTTCAAAAAGAAAAGGAAAAAGAAAAACATCAAAGAGGCACGTTGAATAACAGCAAAGATTGGTAATAATAAGAACCAAAATTTGAGGTCCTGGCTGAGGATTTAGATTTTACACTAATCATTTAAAAGCTACCAAAATTTCTCAGTAGGATAATTTTAATAGAATTAAGAGAATGATGAGAATGAATTTTTTAAGAAAAAATAATAAGAAGAAGCCATTTAGGAGCTGAAGAGATGGCTTATTGGTTAAGAACAACTGATGCTCTTGGAGAGGACCTGGGTTCAGTCCCCAGCATCCACATGCATTCAGTCCCCACCACCTACAAACGTTCTGTAACTCTAGTTTCAGATCTGATGCTCTCTCCTGGCTTCTTTGTGCACTGCATGCTTGTTACACAGACATAAATACAGAAAAATATACTCATACACATAAAAAAATTTAATGAATAAATCTTGAAAACAAAAAAAAGCCATTGTAGCAGGAGATGAAGAAATAATATGACTTACTAGACAATTTTTGGGAGTAGACTAGTGAAAAAGAAGGATAAGAAAAACATTGAAGTTGAGCTGACTTGGCAACTTGTTCAGTTTGTAGGAAAGGAAGATTAAATGTTGTAGAATTTGTAGACTTTCTAAGTGACTGATTCTTTTTTTAGGATGTACTTTATTTATAATCATGTATGTCTGTCTGTGGGTATGTGCACATGAATGCAGGTACCCACGGAGCTTAAGTTAACAGGCAGTTATTGCCTGCCAGATGTGAATGCTGGGAACCAAACTCAGGTCTTCTGCAAGGGCAGTACAGGCTCTTAACTGTTGAGCCATCTCTCCAGCCCCTTGATAACATTCTTAGAAGAAACATAACAGAAATCATGGAAGTAGTAGGCTTGAAGGGGGGAAATTATATGTTACCTTATATGTATTCACTTGAAGTTCTGATAGGAATTTAGGGGGAGTAGAGGTGGGAAAGCAAATTAGAACATATGTCTAGACAGGTGTGAGAACTCTGGTACTAACTCATATAGAGGAGTTAAATGAAGCTAAGAAATTACCAAAACAAAAAGAGAATAAAGCCAAAAATACATTTCATGGTGCATCTTTGCTGAGAGTAAAAGGGAGATGAGGAATCAAGAAAAATGATCAAAGAAAATGCAAAAAAGAAACAAAACTAGGAAACGCAGCCTTGAATACCAAAAAACAAAAAACAAAGACAGTGAAAGAATCAGAGAAGTGATCTTTTTCATAGTACCTCCTAGGTAGTCGACTGCAACAGGATGAGCTTGAGTATGTCCTCTGAAAACATTGAGTGGATGATGAATGCAAGCTTTATACTTTCTATGAGAAGTGCATGGATACAGATGTTCCTGCTGATGTTCTGGGTGAAGAGTGGAAGGGTTATATGGTCTGAATCAATGGAGGGAATGATGAACAAGGTTTTCCCATGAAGCAGAGTAACTTGACCCACATCTGGTGAGTAGGGGTATTCTTGTGATAGACCAAGGATAACCAGAGAGAGGAAGAGCAAGTCTGTTTTTGGATGCGTTGTGATTGCCAAACTGAGTGTTCTCAACTTGGTTATTGTTTTTTGTTTTTTGTTTTTTTTTAAAAAAAAAAAAAAAGGAGAAAAGGATATTTCTGGACTGATAGACAGACACTATTGTGCCTCAGCGATTGGAGCCCAAAAGAAAACTAGCAGAATTAGTTGAAACAAACCTTTCAGCTCCGTAAAGATGATGTCCACCAATATGTTGTCAAGAAAGCTCTTAAACAAAGAAGGCGATAAACCCCCAAGATTCAGCCTCTTGTTATGCCACAAGTCCTGCAAGTGTTCTGAAGAAACAACACGCTAAGGAAAATGAGGAGGAGAAGGCTGCAAATATGCTAAACTTTTGGCCAAGATAATGAAAAAAGCCAAAGAAAAGCTACAGAAACAGATTGCCAAGAGATGTAGGCTATCCTTGCTGAGAGCATCTACTTCTGAATCCAGTCAAAAATAGTCTTTAAAAGTAACAAATTGGTCAGATTTGTTTTACTTTTAACAAATCTGACCAATTTGTTAAAAGGGAGGGTCAGAAGCCAAAGCTACAGCTTAGTGGTAGCATACAGTTTTAAGCATTCATGATGCCCAAGGCTACCATTTTTATTCTTAGATGTTTTGTTTATTTACACATGTGTGTATGTGTGTGTGTGTGTGAGAGAGAGACAGAGACAGAGAACAAATACAACTTTTACTTGATTTTCTCCTTCCACCATGTGGGGGCCAGGAATCCAATTCAAGTCATCAGGCATTGGAGAAAGCCCTTTTGCCCACTGAACCATCCTACTGACCCAGTACTACCTTTGACCAAAAAAAAAAAAAAATCAGATGGTAAGAAAAAATAGTTGTCGAATTCTTTCACAGTTTAAATATTACTTGTGATGCTTCAGACTGGTATATCAAGAGGAAAGGAGCTGGGCAGTGGTGGTGCACACCTTTAATCCCAGGACTCCAGAGGCAGAGGCAGGCAGATCTCTGTGAGTTCGAGGACAACCTGGTCTACAAAGCAAAAGCAAATTCCAGGACAGCCAGGGCTACATGGAGATACCTTGTCTTGGAAAAAAAAAAAAAAAGGAGAATTTTTTTTTTTAAAGAAGAAAGGAATTATAAGAGGTTAAAAAGTAGTAACTGAATGGTTGAGAAGTAGGGCTGTGTTTACATGAAGCAGACGTGCTGTAGTCACAGTTAATTTCTACTCTGAACAAGAGTTGTTTTTTTCACTTCTGTTTATCCTCAAATCTACTCAATTGCTTTAATGTAAAATCTAATAAGAATTATGAGAAAACAGTTGATTTTCATTGACATTAGGAAAGATGCTATTAATCTCATTTACCTAGGCATTTACTATAGTTATAAATTATGTCATGGTTTGCTTTAATGATTTATGCTGTCCTCTAAAAGGCAACAGTGAAGCATCTCTAACAGTGTTCTCCATTCTGTGAACATGAAGGTGAGAAGATTCATATTCTAAAGATGTATTTTCTTAATGGGATTTCTGAATTAAACCTCCAAAATGACAAATGGATACCATGTCCTTTGATACAGTAGTGAATAATTAAATATCTGATGAGCTCAGTAAGGCATGAAAATTAATTCATTGAGCATGGGAAACAATTCGGATAACCTCCCAAAGATCTCTGTTAACATTTCTGTAACCTAAGAGCATGGGTTAGGGTAAAAAAAAAATGGCTGCAACTTTCAAGAGCATGAAAACAACTCATAAGATTCTCAGTACTGAGATTGGACTGTCTTCTTCCCATTGAAGTTTTGTTGTATGAAATACACTTTAAGCAAAAAGAAAAAAGAAGTGCTGTTTATGTCGTTTGTTGGTAGAGCACTTTCTTGACATACATAAGGCCATGAGTTTAATACCCACCCATCCTCAAAGAAAGCTGCAGTCATAATGTACAGTGTCAGCCAGCTTCTTAGCCTGTCTTGATCTTAATGAAAGCATTACTCTCTACTGAAAAAAATCTGTTTTATTTAGACTTAAGTCTTTCATCTGTTAGCTCCCTTTACCTGTCTGATTAAAGTCAATTTTTTGTTGTTGTCTTGTGACAAGGAAGAAATAACATCTGTGAAACATAAGTCACTCAGAAGGTATAATTTCTAGGCTGGTGTTGGAGGCAAATGCCTTTCAGCTGTAATATGTCAACATCTGTTAACTTAAACCTACACATGAAATGTTGATGATAGTAACGATTTAGTGATTAGCACAGACAACACATAGTAGAACTGAGCATGGTGGTACATGCTTGCATTTCATCAGTTCCAAGGTAAAGGCAGGACTATTTAATGAGTTTGCAGTCAGTCTGGTGTACATGAGACCTTTCCTAAAAAGGTGGGGGCTGGGGAGTTGGAGAGATGGCTAGGTGGGTAAGAGCACTTAACTGCTCTTGCAGAGAACCCAGGTTGGGTTCCCAGCACCTACATAGTGACTCACAACCAGTTGCAATGAATTTGATGCCATCTTGTAATCTCCACTGACACCGGGCGCTTGGGTGGTACACATACAGACACATACACATAAAATAAATCTAAAATTTTTTTTAATTTAAAAAGTGTTTTCAAAGAAGAGGGTGGAAGATGGCTAAGTGGTTAAGAGAGCTTGTTTGCTGCATAATCATCAAGACCTGAGTTTGGATAACAGTACCCACATAACAAGCTGAGTGTCTGCAAACACCTGCAACTCCAGCTCCAGGGATATGACACTCTTCTGGTCTCCATGTACAAAGGCATACTCATCTGCTCACCTGCGTATTTATATTCATGCAGACACAAATAAAATAGTTTTTACAATTCAAAGAAGAAACCAGGATAAAACATTCTGAGTACACACTAACTATTTAAACTCAGTGATTGCCCCTTTTAGCTCTTTTTCTTTTCAAAGGCAAAGGAGCAAACAAATAATTTTTAAGTAAGTACCTTTTTAGGTACAAACCTATAAAAGCTTCATCCTCATTTTAGCATACTACACAATATCAGACATGGGTTATAATTCCAAAAATGAAAACAAATTTTAATAGAAAATTTTAACAAAAATTTTTGTGGTATCTCATAGTGCTGGTACCACATACAATTTTTGTCTGGATCCTGAGTAATTTCTTGGGCCATTTACTTGAAGAATGAAAGAAAAATAGTTAATGTTTATATTATTTTATTTTCCTTTTTTTTTTTTTTTTTTTGGTTTTTCGAGACAGGGTTTCTCTGTGTAGCTTTGCACCTTTCCTGGGACTCACTTAGTAGCCCAGGCTGGCCTCGAACTCACAGAGATCTGCCTGGCTCTGCCTCCCGAGTGCTGAGATTAAAGGCGTGCGCCACCACCGCCTGGCTATTTTATTTTCTTAGAATAGCTGTGACCCAAATGAACACCCTTAACAGAATGTTACAGATTTACAGTTTGGCCAACTATTACTAAAATATTTGATGCTGATAGTTTTGAATTTTATAGTTATGTATCCTTTAAATGAAATAGATTATGTGGAAACATGGAGTGAATACTGTCTTGTGGGGATTCTTTTTAAACTTAACAGTTTGGTGATTTTTCTTGACTAAAAGCTATTTTAAAGTAGCATATTTTGTACATAATAGTGCTTTCTATATGAAGCCCAACTAAGTGCCAAGAAGATACTACATTTGTTTTTAGTTTGGTTTTGTTTTTTTTGTTTTGGATTTTTGTTTGTTTGTTTGTTTGCTTGCTTCTTAATACCACAGTTCTGCAAGACAGGTCTCATACTAATAAAGCAGCTAAAGCTCAGGTTAATTAAGTGATGTTTCAAGGTCCCTTAGTTAGGTGAGGGATCCAGGGCTTGATCATAGCCCTCTTTTAATACTGTAATGCATGTTCATCCCCCCACCCCACCCCCCATGTGTGTATACCACTTTGCTTCCTGTTCCCTAAGAATGTTTCTTCTAAATATGTTTCCCATACTCTGTAATAGCTATTTTTAAAAAACTTTCCTTTACCTCAGTAGTAATCATTTTGACAGAAAATATGTTTCATTTTGCTCCTGGTATTTTTTTCTTGTAGAAATTACTGTTCTTCAAAGCCCTCTTATGACTAACCTGAACCTCAAGTCACATCCACAGATTGAGAAGGATCTTTTAAAAGGTCCACTCCTCTTTAATGAAGAGAGACCTGTAAGAAAACAAGACTATGTACTTCCATCTCTTATAAAAATTTAGTAAGCTCCTATCCTGCTTTTTGAGAGTTATTTAAGGGGGTATGAATTTGAACATGATTAAAACCTAGTTCCTAACTTCCAAAGTTTGTCTTACAAGTGAAAAGTGCATGTGAACAAATATGCACCAGAGTATAAACCATGGGCTATCAGAAGACATTGAAGTAGTGTGCCTTGCAGAGGTAAACAGATACAGTTATTCCAAAGAGTAGTAAGCAGATCTTTATAGATAGGCTCTCTGGCCAATGTCTGTGGAAAAGCATGTAAAGTATATATGAAGAGAAATGCTGCAGTTTTGTGTGGAAGGTTAAATTGCTGTCCCCAGTGCTAACGGTAGACCTGAAGAGCCTTGTTTACATCTGTGTTTGACACCAACATTTCTCCTAAAACCTTAGTTGGGTTACCTGTTCAATCAAGCTCGGGTTGTTGTTTGGTTTTTGTTTTGTTTTGTTTTTTGTTGTTGTTTTCCTGGAATAATGAAATTACTTACATTAGTGGGAGAACCCTTTAACAAGTTCATGATAATTAAATATATTTGGGGTTTCCAATAAAAGATACTATATTTTTAACTCAAATCATTGCTGTTTTTATAAATATTGATGATGTTGGTGATTGGTTCTATTTTGCTTCCAGGATAAAGAGAATAAATATAGTGCATGGGAGGAGGTAACTATTGGGTTCTAAAGCAGTGATGCTTCATGGTTTCTCACTAGTTCTGAGGAAAGAAAAGTCTAAAGAATGCTCAATTGTTTCTTATTCTGTTTAGGAAAGCAGAGTTTCATTATAGCACTTGTCACCTTTTCTCTTTGATTAGGGGAGTTCATCAAAGCCTTGTATGAATCAGATGAGAACTGTGAAGTGGATCCCAGCAAGTGTTCCTCTAGTGAACTGATAGACCACCAGAGCAACCTGAAAATGTGCTGTGAGTTGGCTTTCTGCAAGATCATCAACTCATACTGGTGAGCTTGTGTCCTTGCCAAGGAACCTACTTTTTCCCTATAAACATCACCACAAAGAAAAGACTTGAGGGAAATGACAAGATTCCCCTCCCTTAGTCCATTGTAAGCAGGACTTCTGAACTGCCTCTTTAAATAACCCTTTCCAGCTATTAGAGTTGTACTTTCTAATACCTACTAGTAGAGGTTGGATTTGTCGGATGGGGTTGTCTTGTTTTGTTTTTTACTTTTTAAAATATTTGCTAGAATGGAACAGATGTGTTCATAAATTTTGATCTTTTCTCTACCACAAACAAATGGTGAGTTTGGGAAGATTTTTCATGAACAGCCTTTAGGGGTGTTATGGTAAGCTGTGTTAAACCAGAGTTTAGTGAGGAGCCTCGTGCTGTTTTCCCACTTAGCTAAACTAAATTTGTACTAATCCAAAACTTTGTAACTTTCAGTTTCTAATCTCCACCTAGCCTTCTGTGACTTTTCCGCCACCTGTCGGCCATGAATCAGGCTGACCCCCATCCCAGGGTGTCTAATAGGGCCTCCTCCTAGCTCAGCTCTGGAACAGAAGCACGCTGGGTCAGAGTAGGCCACTTCCTCAGGTTAGGACACTTTCTATTTAGAGGTTATGGGGTTTCTTTTGTGTGTGTTTTTCCCTTCTGTAGTGTCTTCCCTCGCGAGTTGAAAGAAGTATTTGCATCATGGAAGCAGCAGTGCCTGACCCGAGGCAAGCAAGACATCAGTGAGCGGCTCATTAGTGCCTCACTGTTTCTCCGCTTCCTCTGCCCAGCCATCATGTCTCCCAGTCTCTTCAGCCTGATGCAGGAGTATCCTGATGACCGCACATCTCGGACTCTAACTCTTATTGCCAAGGTCATTCAGAACCTGGCCAACTTTGCCAAGTAGGTGAAACTACCCTAATCCTTTTTAAAACACCTGACTTCTTAAAAATGCATGAGCTTTTGAATGAGGCTGGGAGCCGCATTCCTACTCCTACTAGATTTTATTGCATTGTCAAGAAAAATTTTAAAATGGAAACAAATATTAAATAAAATCTGGTACAAACATTTAATGAAATCTTTATAATAACTGAAAATAATGTTTATAAAAGGTATTCAATAATATGAAAATGGTGATAGCTAAATTAAAATATTAATTAAAGATAGAATGACAAATGATATTATCTTAGTAATATGAAAAAACAATACAGGTATGAGAGTGTTGAGAAAAGGCTGGTAGTATGCTTACATCACATGCACAAGGCCCTGGGTTCAATCCCAAGCATCCATCAAGCAAAGAAGTGTTGTGAAAATTAGCAAATACTGTGGTTACATCATCTATTGTAAATAGGATAGCCACTTTCTAACAGGTGGTATTAAGAAAAATGCAGAAGACGGAAGGGTACTATAGACAGAAGAGACCAAATGCAGTACTTGAAATTTATTGGTATCTTAAGTTAGAAAAGCAATCTGTAAAAATTATTTGGGGGTCCACCAGGATGATTCATCAGGTAAGAACACTGTCTGTCAAGCCTGATGGCTTGAGTTTAACACTCCAAACCCACATGGTGGAAGGAAAGAAGCAGCTCTTCTTACAAGTTGGCCTTTGACCGCCACATGTGCACCATGGTGTGCAAGCACCACCACCACACACATGCAAAATAAACAAATATAAAGGTTGTTTTAGTTGTTTGGGGACTAGGAAGATAGCTCAGCAGTTAAGATCACTTACGACTATTGCAAAGGACCTGAGTTGGTTCTTAACACTCACAACTGCCCATCAATCTAGTTCCAAGGAAATCCAACACCTCTGGCTTCAAGGGGTACCCACACTCACATGCACATACATACATACATAATTCAAAATAATTTTTTATTATTTGGCAAAAACAGTAGAATTTAGTTAAGAACTATATATGAGATGATTGATGAATAATGTTTTAAAATTTTTAATGTGAAAAAGCATTGCTTTCTATAAGAGATACTCATTCTGAAAAAAAAATGACACTGAAGTATCTGTAATTTAGTTTAAAATGGCTCTAGATAAAAAAAGTATATGTATCTGTAGAGAATGAAAGCAAACCTGGCAAGCAAAAAAAAGGCTCCCAGTTGGTTGATAGATGAAAAGCATATGGGTGTTCATTATATATTCTTTCAACTTTTCTGTAAGCTTAAATTTATTTTCAAAAGGAAGTTAGGAAGCCAAGAACAATGGCTCACACCTTCAATCCCTGCACGCAGGAAGTAGAAGCAAGTGGATCTCTGTGAGTCCAAGGCCAGTCTAGTCTATATAGCAAGTTTAGGCCGGCCAACCAGTGATACTGCCTCAAAAAAAGGAAAGGAAGGAAGGACAGATGGACCAGGAAAAAATTCACTTTACAAAATTGATCACAGGTATATTTAATATTGAGACAGACAAGCTTCTTCCAACAGTGTATGGAAGAAAAAGTGTCAGTGAAGCAGATTGTCTTCTCATATATTATTTTGTAAATTTTATTTATTTTCATATGTATGGGTGTTCCACTGGTGTGTGTGCCTGTGTACCACATGCATGTGTGGTGCCTGCAGAGGCCAGAAGAGGGCACCAAATTTTCTAGACTGGAGTTAAAGACAGTTGTGAACAACCATGTAGGTACTGGGAGTAGAACCCAGGTCCTCAACTAGTGCTCTTAATCTCTTAATTGCTGAACCATCTCTCCAAACCGTTAATAGAATTTTTTGAAGTTCACTGTTTGAATTTTATGGATCTTATAGCTAAGCCAACACAGAAAGATTTGCCCATATTTGGGTTATTTCTGATAAAATTACGTGTAGGTTCTGTTGGGGCAGGTTTTATAGACTTAAAGTAGGATAGATAAAAAACAGATGGACAGAAATTTCTTCTCCGATGAAATAAAAATCATGAACAGAGACTTAGAAAAAGCCCCCTCCCATACAGTCTCCCCTGTGCAAGGATTGCAGTTCATGGTTTTAGTTACCCATGACCAACTGTGGTCCAAATATATTAAATGCAATCTTTAAACTATTATGAGTAGGAGACATCTTGTGATGTCTAGCTCAGTTCCACCCAGGATATCAATCATCCATTTGTTCCTTGTATCCATGTAGTGCATGCCAGTGTATGTTAATAGGCTCTTGGTTTTCAGATCAATTACTGAAGAATCATAATGCTTACATTCAAATAACCTTATATTACTTAGTAATAGCGCCCCCCCCCCAGCAGAAATTGTTATCCTGGCAATTTGAATGTCCTAAGAGACTATAAAGTCCTTTTAAGTTTGTTTGTTTTTGTTTTAAAGGGTGCATTAAAGGGCAAAATATAGATAGTTCCATGATATCTGCAGTTTCAGGCATCCATCGGAGGTCTTTCAGTATGAACCATGGGTAAGAAAGAGACTACTATGGAATATATTTGGAAACTGAAAAAATAATAGTAAAATTGATGGTTGTCTTGATGGGCATTTAGTAGGTAACTAAGAGCTATATAATATGAGGATTTTGAAGACCAAAAGAGGAATTTTTGTCTCTACTTTTGAGTTTTTCAACATGAGTTAAAGTAATATTAAGAAAGAATATTTTAGCAGTTACAACTTAAAGAAACAAAATCCTTATCATCACAAAATAAAAAGAAATGATACCTCTTTGTAAGTCAAAATGTTAACATATCTTTTCTTGATCTGTGTTCTTTCTTATTTTCTCGCCTAACTCAGGTTTGGTAACAAAGAGGAATACATGGCATTCATGAATGATTTTTTAGAACATGAATGGGGTGGAATGAAGCGGTTCCTTTTGGAGATCTCTAATCCAGACACCATCTCAAACACCCCAGGCTTTGATGGTTACATTGATCTGGGCAGAGAACTGTCAGTTTTGCATTCCTTACTGTGGGAAGTAGTTTCCCAACTTGATAAGGTAAAGTAGGAGGGAGGTGGTAGTGGGAAATGGGAAATACAGAACCTTAGTGTCCAGATTCTAGAGATCGTCAGGATGATAACAAACTACATTTCTGCTGGTTAAAGCAACCTTTTGTTCTAGACACTTAAAAGTAAATGGTTATCATTAAGTAGGTGATGCACACCAGAATTCTGGGAGAGCCACAGAATCACTAATATATGTTTAAATAATTACCTGAGCTAATCAAATATTTCTGTAAATTTATAGAGAAAGATATTTATGAGAACTTGCCTAGAAACTATTATCAAATATTAGTATATGCATCTTTAGCCATATATAAGAAACTTTATCTGGTAATTTCTAAAGACAAGATCTTTTTTAAAAAGTACGGGTTTATAAAATATTGTTCATCATATTTAAGTTAATTTCACCATGGGGAAGTTGTTTTTCCCACTGTGTAAGTCAGAGTTGGATATAATTTTTAGCACTAAGAGTCACATAGGATCCAAAATTACAGATATTTTCTTTATCTACCAATGTGAATTAAGAATACAAAAATAAGCCGGGCGGTGGTGTCGCACACCTTTAATCCCAGCTCTCAGGAGGCAGAGCCAGGCGGATCTCTGTGAGTTCAAGGCCAGCCTGGACTACCAAGTGAGTTCCAGGAAAGGCACAAAGCTACACAGAGAAACCCTGTCTCGAAAAAAAAAAAAAAGAATATAAAAATAATCATTTATTTTCTAATGACAAATGAAGTTTATGTCATTTTGATAACTAAGTGTAAAGCATACCAATCATTTTCTTCATTCTGGATTTTACAAAGAGGAATAGATTCTGTAGTAGAAAATGGTTCAGTAATCAGTGTTGTTTTTCTATGATAAGGATTTACTTGTTTTCTTAAGTCTTCCTCTTATCTATAAAATGCTATATCTGATAAAGAATGTATAGTAATAAACTCCTTAGTAAATTTTACTTTCTAGAAAAAATATAGATGGCAGTATGTCCACTGGTACTTAAAATGTTTATAAAACCATAAACCATTCCTTATCCTCAAGAACTACTTCTTTACTTTAAGAAATGCTATGTGGATACTTAAGTTGAAGTTAATGGAAAATAAATTCTCATGTGAATTTTAACTTAACATTATTGAGCAAGTAAAGGCATTCTTCAGATGACATTTATACCTACTCAAGCAGAGTGGAGGGGTGTTAATTAGCTGGAACATGGAGCTAAGTGCTAGAGCACCTGCCTGGCAAAAACAAGGCCTTAGGCTTGATTGCCAGATACACAACACGCGCATACACACATACATACACACACACACACACAGAGAGACAGAGAAACAGTGTCTACTGATCATTGAGAAGATAAAGAAGACCTAAAGGTAACCATGACTGTTATCCTAAACTGCATAGTAATTGAGGGATTCTATGAGAACCCATGGGGATAAGAATGCCATAAGAAAAAAAAATGATTAAGTTAGATAAAACAATTGCTTTAAAAGTTGTTTGTTAGATAGCTATATCAGTAAGATACACAGAGTTGTTTTATGAAATCGGTCTAGTTTATTCTTGATCAAAGTCTTTTTTTAACAGATTTTTCTGTGTGAACACACTTCTTCATTTTTAGTCTTTATTCATGGGAACCAGGAGTATATCTAGACATATCTGATAAGAGAGAAAGACCACCTGAATTTTTTGGTTTGGTTTGGTTTTTAACAAAAGATTCAGTTGACAGTGAGTCAAGGTTCCCAAGATTGACTGAGGTTGTGGATTGTACTGTAAACTAACTGCATGTCCTGCAGTTCTCCAGGTCCCCGAGTATGGCAGCGCCTTCCTGTATGTTGGCATGCATTGCTTTCCTCACATAACCCTTTCTTTGGAAGTTTCATCACATTAGCCAGTCATCTGGTCCTGAAGTTCCTTTTGGTTAAAAGGTGTTGGTTCTTCCCTTTCCCTCTCCATCTTGGTCTGGTAGTCACTCAAAGACTTAGTGTGCTTTGCATGCATATTTTAGTCGGAATGGCAATAGTTTGTTTGTTTTGAGCATGTCTTTTAATTTTTATTTGCATAATCCTAATTTCTATTTCCTTTCTTTCCTCAATGTCTACTGCACCTTGTTCCGCCTCCTCCATTCATCTCGACGCCATGGTTCTGCTGCTCCATAACAATGCATTATGAACTTGCCACTCCCATACGCAATACCTACCCTCCCTCCAACCTACATCCTTCCATCAATGGGCATCATTGTCCCCAAAACAATATGTTGTGGATGTCACAATGCTTATTGTCCAATTAGGGTGAAAATTCCTTCCTACAGGCAACTGTGGCAAAACTGGGGCCTCTCCCTCGTGTTCTTGCTGATATCACCAAGTCCCTGACTAACCCTACACCAATACAGCAGCAGCTGAGACGCTTTGCTGAGCACAGCTCCAGTCCGAATGTCAGTGGAAGCCTCTCCTCTGGGCTGCAGAAAATATTTGAAGACCCCACTGACAGGTATGAAAGAGAGGATTTGAATGCTGCTCCCCAAACAGATAATGTTTAGATTTGCCAGAAACCTATTTATCTTATTTTTTTAAGTTTGCAACTTCTAAGTTATAAGTAACTGAAAAGAATTGTCTTTGATAAATTCAGTTGCTCGTCACAATGCATAGCAGCCAGTATTATTTTCCAGGATGATACTGTAGCATTTTATAGTATAAATATACACAAAGATCTGTCTGTCATGTTTCATGGAAGATGAAGGACTTTTATAAAATTGATGTTTTCATATGATCTAGAGCAGTGGTTCTAAACCTTCCTAATGCTGTGACCCTTTAATACAGTTCCTCATGTTATGGTGACACCCAACATAGAATAATTCCCTTGCTGCTTTATAACTATAATTTTGATACTGTTGTGAATCGGAATATCTGATATGCAGGATATCTGATATGCAACCTCCAAAGTGTTCGAGACCCACAAGTTAAGAACCACTGCCCTAGACCCTCAGTTAAGACCATTTTAGAGTTGTCTGTGTCTGCTGGATAGGTGGATAAAATGTTGAACCTTTAACTTTGGGCTCTGAATTGGAACAATTCATGCCTTTAACAGTGCACAGATTCTCTGAAGGTTTTTGACAGAACTAAGTATGGATTCGGATATTTAGAGAGTGTTCTAACTCATTAATAACTGAAGACAGTGGTGGGAGGTATGTTCTTTTCTACCTTTGAGAGAAAACTAATAATGCCAGATTTTATTCTAAGAATTATAGTGATGAAATCAGAGTTTCTAAAGAAATATAACTTACATATTGGAGCTGGGAAACTTCGAAAGAGTTCATATGCCCAAACTGAGGAACTATTAGTTATGTTGAATTTGCTTCAAGAGTAATTAAGGGGCCATTCCTTTTCCACAGTGATTTGCATAAACTAAAATCTCCAAGCCAGGAGAACACAGACAGCTATTTCAGAGGAAAAACGTTATTGTTGGTTCAGCAAGCCTCCTCCCAGAGCATGACTTACTCTGAAAAGGATGAAAAGGAAAGCAGCCTTCCTAATGGTCGAAGCATCTCCCTCATGGACCTCCAGGACACTCATGCTGCTCAGGTGGAGCATGCATCTGTCATGCTTGATGTGCCTATGCGCCTTGCAGGAAGCCAGCTGTCTATAACCCAGGTGGCTAGCATCAAACAACTTCGGGAAACCCAGAGCACTCCCCAGAGTGCACCTCAAGTGAGAAGACCCCTGCACCCAGCCTTGAACCAACCAGGAAGTCTCCAGCCCTTGTCATTCCAGAACCCTGTCTATCACCTCAACAACCCAGTTCCAGCAATGCCAAAGGCCTCTGTAGATTCTAGTTTGGAGAACCTAAGCACTGCCAGTTCTAGAAGCCAAAGCAATAGTGAAGACTTCAAACTCAGTGGACCCAGCAATAGCAGCATGGAAGATTTCACCAAAAGAAGCACGCACAGTGAAGACTTCTCCAGGCGGCACACTGTACCAGACAGACACATACCTCTTGCTCTGCCACGACAAAACAGTACTGGGCAATCCCAAATCCGAAAAATGGACCAGGCTGGGTTAGGTGCCCGAGCCAAAGCACCCCCATCCCTGCCACACAGTGCTTCCTTACGTAGCACAGGGAGCATGTCAGTGGCCTCTGCAGCCCTAGTGGCTGAACCTGTGCAGAATGGGAGCCGATCCAGACAGCAGTCCTCTTCCTCCAGAGAGAGCCCTGTGCCCAAAGTGAGAGCAATCCAGAGACAACAGACACAGCAGGTAGAGTATGCTAGAAGACTTTGGCTTCTACTTGGTTGGACAACTGGGTTGTTTCTTTATATAGAAAGTGTCCAGAAATCAAACAGATAAGAAGGTTTCCACTTAAGAATGTTTCTGTAACCTTTAAAGAGAAGAAAGAAATGGAAAGGTTTGGAAGATTCTGACTAGGTGAGAGCAGAACAGAGCTTGACTCTTAGGAGACTAACAAACCCTCAGGAGGCTTTTCTTTTCCATGAGGAACAGCTGCTTCTTCAGGGTGTGCTTAGAGCAGAGCTGTGGCATTGGGTGAATAATTACACAGTTATAAAGGAGATCTACAGGCAAAATCAACTGTATTTAGGGAATCTGGAAATTAATCCTTCTTAATTTTTTCCTTAAGCTTCTAGAATAAAGTTTTGCATTCTGAACTTACAGTATAATGTAACTGCTCTCCACTTCATCCCCCAGCTCCCTGTGGAAATGCCAAGTCCCATGTGCCATTTCCTGGAATTAGCTTGAAAAATAAACAACTGATCACCTAGAGAGGCAAGGGGAAGAATTACAGAAACATAGATAGTTGATAAGTACTTGAAATATTTGCGCTTCCCTTAGATTACTGCATACATAGACAGGTCCAGCTAATGTCACACCAATCCTGATAGAACATTTTGAAATTTTATTATTTGCCTAAAATGCAATCATTCCTTCCCTTATGTATGACATTTTGAGTCATTTATACATACTTTTCCCTTAGACATAAACTAATAACTTTAGAAGTCTCTCTTTCACTGCTCCCCATGTGTGTTTGTTTCATCTAAGTTTCTGCCTAAGAAAATTTTACATTTGTGGAATTTTTAATACAAATTTTCATTTTATTATTTATTTACTTATTTTTGGAGACAGGTCTCACTAAGTAACCCTGCTGGCCATGAGCTCATAGAATCAGCCTGCCTTTGTCTCCCAAGCACTGCGATTATAGCTTTGCACCACTATACCTGGCTTACCTATTTTTATTTTTTGAGAATTTGCATATGATGTATTTTGATCAAATCCATCCCCATTCCCTCCCCTCCAGATCCTCCCTTACCTTCTAACACCACTTTTGTATCCCAGTTCCATGTGTTCACTCTCTCAAAACAAATAAAACATTGAGTCCACTTAGGTATAGGACTGACTATCTACTGGAACATGAGTAGTTTTTCCAGAGCCACATCCCTAAAGACAACTTACTGTCTCCCCACAAGCAACAGTCAGGTGTCAGGGGCATCTCAGCTAGATGTAGGACTTAATGATCCCTTCCCTGGCTATGTTGGGATTTGGGTTTGCTTAATCGTGTACATACAGTCACAGCTGCTATGAGTTAATGTGTGTGGTGGTTCTGTCATGTCCAGCAAATAATGTTTCACAAAACAGCTCTATCTGTTTCTTACATTCTTTCTGCATCCTCTTCCATGATGATCCCTGAGCCTTGAAGGGGGGAGATGTATGCTATTGATATCTCATTTAGATTGAGCACTCCAGAGTCTTTATTCTCTACACACTGACCAGTTGTGGGTCTCTGTATTAATCACCATCTACTACAAAGAGAAGCTTTTCTCATTAGGGTTGAGAGATGCACTAATATATTGGTATAAAGATAAGAAGTTAAGGGTGTCAGTTTCATACTGTGTTCATTTAGCAGAATAATAATATTAGGTTGTCCCCTAAGGCCAATCACCTAATCAGTGACGGGATGTGGGCCCAGTTAATACTACTAGGCATGAGTTCTGTCTATGGAACAGGCTTTAAATCCCAAGAGTTTAGGTGCTCTTTAGACATATCTTTTTTTTTTTTTTTTTAATGTGCATTGGTCTTTTGCTTGCATGTATGCCTGTGTGAGGGTATCGGATCCCCTGGAACTGGAGCTACAGACAGTTGTGGACTGCCATGTGGGTGCTGGAAATTGAACCAGGGTGCTCTGGAAGAGCAGTCAGTGCTCCTAACCACTGAGCCATCTCTCTAGCCCCGCTCTTTAGACATATCTTGCCAAACCAGTTGTTATTGTAGCTTACAGGGTTCACAGCTGGGAAGACTGTTCATTACTTTTTTCCCCCAGGAGCATGCATAGAACCGTCCAGCACGATGAAAACTAGTCAATAGGGATGAAGCTTCCAGGTCAGCATCAGCTTGATTGTCCTATGACTCAAGTGTCTTTAGCAGGAAGGTTATCTTTCAAGTTGTGGAAGGAAACCAAGAGCAATGGCAGTAGCCTCTAATGTTTGGCTGTGATCTATGGGGTCCTGCTGACCAACATTTCAAAATGAGGTAACCTGACTTGGCACTGGCCTTTTCATTTGATAGCTTATGGAGCCTGGTGCTGAGAGAGCATACCATCTTCTCCCCATGCACCGCCCTTATCAAGTAATTCCATTTAAGTTCCTCATATAAATAAATGAGTGTGTGTGTGTGTGTGTGTGTGTGTGTGTGTGTGTGTAAGCATCTACAGTGGTAGGTTTCTATGGGGGCATTTTCAGAGGTCTTTAGTGTTAGTTGTCCATACTAACTCCTCTATGCTCCCTTCCCATCCCCCACTACCATTTAACACTTCCTGTCCCATTATTTCCCCTTTTCTCCTTCATTCTACCTGAAGTCTATCCCCTTCACTTGAAATTCCATCACATGACCCCTTAACTAGTTCTGTGACTTCTGTGTATACTATGTGTATATTTTCATTAATTCTTTGAGAATTTAATAATGCAGACAGTGTATTTTGATCATATTCTCCCACACCCATCTACTCACCATCTACCTTCCGTCCCCTTCCAACTTCATGCATTACCTATATACTTGTGGGTGTGAGGTCATCCACTAGAGTGGAGTATACCTACTAGGGGCCACATTCCTTTAAAAAAAAATGTAACCCTCCTTCCAGAAGCTATCAACTATTAATAGCTCTCCAGCTTTGGGTGAGGGCTAGTGAGCCCCTGCCCTCTCTCATGAAATTTTTTGAAACATATTTATACCGTATAAGTTCTAAAGAGTTGATGATTAAAAGAATTCTATGACATCTTTTTAGGGAACAGAATAGGTGCTCAGGAAGACTACACTAAAATCCCAACTCATGTGAGTAATGTAGCTACATTTTTACAGGGAGGTACTTCCTGATTTAGTTAGCTCTGCATTGTTGCTACTACAGTCAGAACCCTTTCCCCCTGCCCTTGCATTGATTTGTATTTTAAAAGTTGGACATTTGCAGAATCCGTGGATACAGAAGTTGAGGATGAGCTTAAGCTTTTTCTGGAAGCCAGCTTCTGAGGAAGATATCCCAGGTGGTTATTCTTTCTGGAGGAACAAAGCTCCTCGAGATTGAGTTCTTCCTTCTAGCTTATTGTTTCACAAGATTATACTGATTCATTTGATCTAATAGGATCATCTGAGGAAAAGTCATGTATACTCCTGTATGTGTAGCTCAAGCTGGCCAGGAGCTATGGCCATCCTACTTACTCCTCTTCAGGTTCCCCAGGCCTGTACCCTCACAGCTGGCCTGCTGCATGTCTTTTATATATACACATAGATTTGTCCAGAAGTGTACATGATTTTTGCTAAAAAGCCTTCATTTATTTAAGCCTTCTTGAAATTTAATTTCATCACATGTTTCTGTGCTGGCTTCCGGTTGATGGTAACTACTTTCGGAGAGTTAAAGTATTTATTGGAGGAAGAATGCACAGCTAAGTAATTTTAGAGATGAAATGCTATATGAAAGCAAACATTTCCTCTAGCTTAGGGCAGCTAGAGGGCAGTGGGGATGAGGTGAAAGTAGAAAAGTTCTCATTGATTAGGTTCAGTCCTGAAAAGAAAAGGAAAATCAGAATTCTCTTCTTTGGGCAGACAGTACTCTTGCTATTACTCACCCAACTGCCCCATGCAGTGTACTAAATAAACTTTTTTTTAAAACATGTTGTAAATTTTTCTCTTGCTACTTCTGCCTTTCCATTTTGTTTCCCTCTATCATGTAGTCCTATCACGTATATTTGTGTTTATAATTCTCATGCATTTGCCTATGACCAGTTGCTACTTATATTTTTCTATAGAAAAATATGACACCAACCACACAAGCACAAAACATATGCTTCCACAAATGAATATAAGACTGCCTAGATAAGTAGGAGGTAGTAGATGTATATCATCTCCAAAAACAAATTTGAATTTTAATTTTTCTGTCACAACCATTAATGAACTAGAGAATGTCTATACTACCATGAACTGGAACAAAGAAACAGTGAGCTGTCCTGACACATTTAAAATATCCATCTTCATTTATACCTGCTGATAACAGCCCTCTCATAGAAGTTGAAACCTCGTGTTTTGACTGCTCAAGTTTGTGAATTTTCTACAGTGGCTTTTTCTATCCATTAAGTAAATGGTTATTCTTTTGAACTTGTTGTTACTCTTTTTATTATTATCTTTCCATTTCTTGTGTTTTTTTCATCTCACATGAGTCCTCTGTATAATCAGCACATTTTTAAAGCAAATTCCTCTACATATTTTAATTGCAGATTGTGTTAGGGAATTTTTTTTCTTTCTCCCAACCTAGAGGGTGTCTTTGTGGGGATTGTTCTGCTGGCAGCTATAATTATCAGTGGCTGTGTCCCATGCAGATTCCATTTGTGTCTTAGCACAAAGGAGACAGAGAGAGGCCTTTGTTGGCAGTGTGGCTGGCTTCAGTCTTCTCCAATAGTGAGGAGGAAGGAAACAAAATCCTAGCAAAATGCTTTACCAAGAAACAACTCTTTCTCAAGAAATTCTGGATATTTTGACCCCTTTGAGCACCTGTCTGGATTTCTTTTTTTCTCATTTCTTCTCTTTTACTTTTTTTTAAAAGCATATCATGTATCTTGTACTAATAATAGACTTTATTTATTTTAAATATATGAGTTGTTCAGGCTTAGTATGTCAGAAATTTGAATTTGAAAGGACTTTTAAATAGGCATAACAAGCTCTCCAGTATCATGCTGCAGTCTTCACATTTGGATTTGCCAAGACCTCTTCTAACCAAACTCTTTAAGAACTGTCAGAGTTGAGTTGCTTTGGTGTTGATAGCAAACTGGTTATTCATTGATGAGAATTTCTTAAAGACAGAAGAAACTGAAACCAAGTGCTGTTTACATCTAGTAAACACTAGCAAGGAACAGGGGAGCTGGCCTGTTCCCACGGTCCCAGCAGAGCCAGACGGTTGTGTCAGGCCTTTGTGCCTAGAGCGTTATTTTGTCCAGGGAAAGCCTGCATAGCATCAACTCAAAGGAGACTGTAGGATATCTCCTTTTCCTGTCCTTTTCACCCTTCATGACCTCTTAAAAGTCAAGTAACTATAAATGTACTTCCTAAGGCTATAGCTAAGCATGATGAAATCTGAACCACTTACCAGCCGCTGTCTTCCATTTCTTTGACTATGAATTAGAGATAATAAGCTTTGTTATATACCCAGCTTATAAAAAGGAGATGGGATGGTTGTTAATGAAAAGCCTTTAATGCCCTTCCAAAGAACTATGGGAAGAACAGTGTCCTTCTCTTATAATGCATTTTATTTTAGCAGCGAATTCTGAAGAAAACTCAGTGTTAATATATAAAATTGTATTGATCATTTCTTGTACATTGAATTAGTCCCTGTAGTTCAAAAGAATTGTATACTGTAGTGCTGTTTGTTTGGTAGTGATGTAACCGAGAAGACCAGCACATGTGAGACCGAAAGAAAAAGTAACAGGGCTGGAGAAATAACTTGATGGTTAAGAGCACTTACTGCTCTCGCAGAGGACCTGTGTGGCAGCTCACCAGCCTGTAACTCCAGCTCCAAATAAGTATTTCTAAAAAAGAAAAAGAAAAACTATAAAAGACAGTTTGTAGATTTTTCATGTAGTACGCATATTCTAATACTTTTGAACCAAAATTACCTCTCTTTTCTTTCACTCTAGTACAGTAACTACTTTTGACTTCCTCTATATTATTTTCTACTCATGATCTTCTAAAGGATGTGACATAAACAAATAATAAAACTGATCTGAGTTTTACTTACCTTATTATTTTGACGATTTACCCAGAGTAAGATTCCACCAATAAAATAGGAAGAGAGTTGAGATGACCAGTTCCCATTGCACAGTCTATCACAATTCACTGGTTATTGTATTAGTCCTCCTAAAAATACAATAGCTACCAACATCATCAGGGGTGTGAACCAACCCTTGCTTTAAAATCTCACAGAACATTTCAAGCCTAGATCACCTACATTGTCTTTGCTGTCTTGCTTTTAATATGCTTTTCAAGCTGAGATCTTTTTCCTTTGTATGTTTTTAGGCACATCATTAGTTTAGAACTAAGGAGACTTATAGATAATAAAGTTACCCATAACAAATGACAGGGAAAGAAAGTTTATTCAAGTAGTATCTTATTAACCATTGAAAGCAGGAAGCTATTGGATAACTGCCTTAATTAATAAGCTCTTAATAGTGAGGTTATCAGTAGCTTATAAAGTATCGACTTTATCTCAAACTACTGTTAAGTAGAAAATCCTAGACCAACAGCTTCTGTCTGCCCTAACTGTGCTGAAGTAATATGACTGTAAAACTAAAAGGCCATTTGTCTCCTTTAAATATTGATATCTATTAGTTATTTAAGATTCGGTGCTACCCTTTTTGTTTTATATCAGAAAATTAAACCCAATGTTTCCATTTCTTTTAATCAGTACAGAAACAGGTCATTGCACTCTGCTTTTCACACCCAGCGTGCAGAGAACTACACATGTATTTGTGTATAAAGTACTTGCAATTTATGAAAGGTTTTTATTCTCTGGCATGTTTTTCTTACAACCTTTGGTTTTTTGAGGCAGAGTCTCTCTCTATATAGTCTTAACTATCCTAGAACTTGCTATGTAAACCAGGCGACCTCAAACACACAGAGATGCCTGCCTCTGCCTTCCCAGTGCTGGGATTAGAGGTGTGTGCCACCATGCTCAAATCTCATAATTTTTGATATGAATAGTTCTTTCCTTTTGTAGATGACACTGTATCCTGTAGGCCAGAGTTCCCCAAGTATTATATAAGTGCATACTTACATAGTATCAAACTCATGGCTCTACTGATAGTTCTTAGCATAAGGGCATAGGTAACTATAAAAGGTTATTTTTAAAAGAGATAAATAAATGTTAATAATAAGGTAGATATAGCAAAAAAGTGACCCATAAGTAAATGGGGTATAATAAACATTTCTATAACTGTAGTAGAAATGGAAATAGAATTTTAAGTACAAAGGGTACTGAAATTTAAGACTAAAACACATGCAAATGTAAAATTATGACTTTAGAGAGGGAATTTCTACACATTCATTCACGAGTGTGTGTGTGTGTGTGTGTGTGTGTGTGTGTGTGTGTGTGTGTGTGTGTGTGTCTACTTATAAACTTCATCCTTCCTCAAGCACAAAGCCATTCTTACTGAGCAGAGTTCTCCTTCAAACCTTTAAGACTACCTATATTAGTCCTGTGTGTGTTTATAAAGTCTCTAAAGACAAGCTTTTCATCTTGCCTTCTAACCCTCATAGCCATCAAAATCCCATTTTATTTAGAGCTTAACTGAGTTCTAGTCTAGAATGTCATAAAGTTTCTTAAAGTATAGCTTGGCATGGGAGAGGAAATTCTCTTCAGTTATGAAATTTAGAGTTCTTCCTCAAAATATAAATCCATTTTAATTATAAAAAGCTAGCATAAACACACAGATTTTTCTTACTATTACACACACATTAACCCCCCCCCCATCTTCTCTCACCCTTATACACACGCACATGTAACATGTATACATTTTCTTCCTGTCTCTAGCAGCCTAGGAATTAACACTCTTAAGTTACCAAAGAACTTTCACATATACCGTTTTACCAATCCTTAGAATTCCCTGTGAGATGATCAGGTAGGTAATGGGAATGGTGACGATGGTAGCATTTTCATTCAATAGATGAGGAAAGTAGAGTTTAAGAGATTAAATATTTTAACTACTAATTGGCAGAGTTGCTTCTCAAGACTAGAATTTTTAACACTCTGTATATCTATATTGAGAAGGATAAGAAAGACCATTTATCTTGCTACCCTAACTAGATAGAGACATGTTTCAGAGGCTAAGACTATCTGGAATTCATAGTTTGATCTTAGGTTCTTAACAAACTTTGTAGTGCTGAGAACATAGTTTAGTAGTAAAGCACTTGCCTAGAGCACATACGAAGCCTTGGATTCCAGATCTAACACAGTTAAGTAAACAAACAAACAAAAAAAGGCCAAGAAAATGTCTTACCTAAAACACACTCTTGAATGGTCCTAACACACCAGGAAGTCAGTTTCTAGAAACGTAATAAATACCACCACTTCTCTTTCTCTAAATGGTTAATATAAAAGCTCAGTATTGGCATTCTGATATGTACATCTGTGAGCTTGCTTAGCATCAGCCAATTCTTTAGTCCCTGGTTATCCCTGGCTCATCAGATATCCCGCCTTCTGAACACTCAGCCTGTCCTCTCTCTCGTTCTGTCCTCTCAGCTTCAGTAGGTTAACTTCATAGCTGGCAACATTCGTTTTGCAGAGCAAAGTAGCAGTGTTAAGGGCATTCTTTATGAGGAAAAAAAAAGAATGGTTCTTGGAAGTTATGTATATGAATTCAGAATGGTTTGTCCTTTAACAGATGCTTGTTCTCTTTCCCTACTGCCTGACCCTCGCATTAACAGACTTACCTAAAACTGAAAACACTTACTAAGAGTGATCACAGTGATGTAATTGTTTTCCTGAAGCATAACTGGTGTTTGGAAATGGTAATAAAAATCTCTGATGTAGGTTCAGTCACCTGTGGATTCTGCCACAATGTCTCCAGTAGAAAGGACAGCAGCCTGGGTTCTGAACAATGGACAGTATGAAGAGGATGTGGAAGAAACCGAACAAAATCAAGATGAAGCCAAGCATGCTGAGAAGGTAGAACCTAATTTGTCTTTGTTGACTTAATGGCCCCACAACTGATAGGTGATTAAAAACAAAAAGGAAAACACAAAATTTGGCCTGCTTAACTCAGGCCTTTGTCTCTTTTTCTTGTGTTACCCATCACATCTGTGTATTATAGATTAGTAGTGTCTCTGTGAGTATATGGACAGTGTCTATTACGCTAAGGAGGAGAGGAGTGGCATGATTTTTAATGTAGGTTACTTTAATTTAGAAAGCTTGTTTTTTTCTGATACTTGTTTCTAACCTTTTTAGTTGAACATTTGTTACTTCTATAAACTTTGTTCTTCAAGTTCACAATTTACTTTGGGACCAGACAATCTAAATCTTGGAAACAGTCAGTTTATATTTCAGTTGTTCTGTTGAGTTTCTTGCCTTTTGTGAATAAAGACTGCTTAACTATATAGATAATTATTTAAAAGGTATCTGTTGTTTGAGGGGTTTCATATAGTGTTTTGGAGGATATATGGGTTTGTTTGTTTTCTGAGACAGGATCTCAGATATACCCCCATACTGGCTTCAAATTCAGTCTTCTGGCCTCTACCTTGGGAGTTAAGGGCATTTATTTTATTTACTTACTTACTTACTTACTTATTTTTTATTTGCTTATTCATTTATTTATTTACATATTTTAAACAAAAGCAAACCTGGAAAATAATTAAGCAAAAATATAACCTTAAAGTCACATTTAATTGACCATCAGACAACTAACTTTTTTTTGGTTAGAAAATCATAAACTGTGCCTGATGATGCAGCCCAACCTTTCAGAGCTGTCCTAAGGCTTTCTGCTTCAGCTTTTAGATTAACCAGCATAATTTAGAGCAGTGGAATGGATAAGCAGTAGCTAGTTGCCTTTCACCAGTTAAATGAGATGTTACTATAGAAGTTGTATTTTACCAAACACCACTCATATTTGTCATTAGTTTACTAGTGACTATAAGTAGCCCACCCATAAGGAAGGTCATGTTTCTCACCTTGCCTGGACAGTTTCACTCTGTTGCACTAACAACCCCGTCCACAGGAACTTTAGTACATGAAAGGACCAAGTAGCCAGCTGAATTACAGAATTTATAGAAGGCTAGTGAGAACGTAGATAGATTCCAGCAGGTGGTACCAGATCAGACATATGAAGCCACATCATGAAAATAGGGCAGGAGACAATATTAATTAGTCCTCGAGAAGATGTAGGCCCTTGTCATTGCTAATTACCTAAATACTTGATACTTTTATAATTAAGGGAAAAGCAGCAATAGCCTGTTCTGTCATGAAATTGTATTAACTGATTTAGTTGCTTAACAGAATGTTGCTTATTCTCTGAATAGTCTAAAGGGCGAGTTCTAGTGGAGTAAAGATAGTCTAATGAGCCCCAGTGTCAAGAATCCTGCAGTACAGGTGATGACGTAGAAGTCTTTCTCTTGCAGACAGCTAGCTTTTAGCCTAAGTCATTTGTTGGACTTCTAACTATTTAGTCATTTTCTTTTTCTTTCTCCCTTCTGTTCGGTACTGTTACAGATTGGATGTGGCTTGCCACGACTGGTAGTTTAATGTGGAGAAAAGTGCATAAATCTGTAGAGTGTGTAATGCCAAGTTAAGATTCATAATGTCAGTGCTTCCTTAGCATCCATGCCAGCCAATACTGTAAACAACCTGGGCAGCAGCAGGGACATGGCAGATCAGACAGTATCCGCATGTCACCTGGGGTTCTCTGGCTACAAAGGGCATCGGTACTTCAAAGCCAGTATAATTCCTGTCATCCATGCCTCTTCCCCTTTGCCAGTATGAACAGGAAATTAGCAAACTGAAGGAGCGCCTACGAGTGTCCAGCCGGCGGCTAGAGGAGTACGAGCGCAGGCTTCTGGTGCAGGAGCAGCAGATGCAGAAGCTGCTGCTCGAGTACAAGGCCCGGCTGGAAGACAGTGAGGAGCGGCTGCGCAGACAGCAGGAGGAGAAGGACAGCCAGATGAAAAGCATCATCAGCAGGTCAGTAGACCACCTGGTAGCTGATTGGCTCTAGATAGGTACAAAGAGGTGGGGAAATGATCCAAATACTTTCAATAGCCCCTCCCCCCCCCCAAAAAAAAGCCATTTTCATCCATCTGTGTATATTCTGTGGTACTTGGTATAAGTGTAATGACTGTGACTCTCAAGTATTAAACCAAATGAGATCTGGTGTACTTACCATGAAGCGAAGGTAGGCTTTTTCTTTACCCATAACAATATTAGAAGGAAAAAAAGGAGGGAAACTAGGAATTTATTTTGAAGTTTTAGATGGGTTTTTTTAAATCTATGTCTAAGATTTAACTCAATTTGCCCAGACAAGTCCAAAAACAGTGAATGTCTTTAGAGCCAGAGGACCAAAAAAGTGCCATGGATGCCAGCAAAGGAGAGTAAAGAAGAGATCCACTTGACTGTATTTGCAGAGCACTTGCTATGGGCCACACACTTTTCTAAGCACTGTATAAATAGTATTTCGTTTTATTTCCATCTCGGTTTCTGAAACAGGTATTATTGCTTATTTACTGAAAGAGAAACTAGCAACAGTTGCTTGCCCAAGGTAACATAGTGGAGACTTAGGATTTGAGCCAGGTATCAGCCTCCAGACTCCAGACTCATAGCCACTACCCTCAGTATTGTCACATGCTTTGGACAAAATAAGAGAAGAACAGAAAAAGTGTTGCTGTTTTAGTAGCTTGGAAATAACTGACTTCATACTGAGAGCCATAGGAGTAGAACTGAGGAGTTATATGCATAAGTGGGTTGAAATGTGAGGAGTAAAGGAGATATGAGATCTACTACAACATCCTGTAGGAAACATATCTGTGCAAGGGAAGAGGATGGGATGGTAGCTACAGTGTAACTTTAGAGTAAAAGTAGATGGTTTGCAGCCAAGCATGGTGGTGCTTGCCTATAGTAATCCCAACATTCAGGAGGTAGAAGTAGGAGTACCAGGAGTTCAAGGCTAGCATGAGATACTTTCTCAAAAATAAATAACTTAAGTAGATAGCCTTTTTATTCTATTGTTGTTTTTCATTTGCTATTTTAAGGTGTTTGTTAAGGGGGTCATCTAATAGGAAGATGATGATTATAAGAATACTATTCTCAAGAAAATGTAATGTTATGCCCAGCCACAGGTAAAAGAATCAACTTAGGATGTCTTCTTTCAAGGGAAACTGGGAGAGGAGGAAAAGAAAGAGAAGGTTATGGCAATAAAATAGGTCTTCTATTGGGAACCACCAGTTTTAAGTTTCTCAATCTCTGTTTTACCTAGCCCTGTCTTTGAAAATATTGATACCTCCTTTCTGCCACATTCTAGGCTTATGGCTGTGGAAGAGGAATTGAAAAAGGATCATGCTGAGATGCAAGCAGTTATTGATGCAAAGCAGAAAATAATTGATGCACAGGTAAGCAGGTCCTGGACTTAGTAGAAAGCACTTGTTTTTTAATACCTGTTATTTTCTGACTTCCCTCTCTTGCAAATGGCAAAGCAGTAGAAAATGAGACGCTGAAAGTTTCTTGGTATTACCCTTTGAATAGTAAATGAGTTTCCATATGACCTCAATGATTTTTCTTTAATGACATAGCATTAATATTAGCATGCAGAATATTGTGTATTAAGTGTAGTTGTTTGACAAATCTTAGCCTAGTACATGATGAAGTTAGTTGGCTTCCTTCCTTGTGGAAAGGAGGACGTTTTCTAAGAGAGTAACTGTAAAAAGTGCACTGCATGTATCTGGCTTGTGACCTCCACTGACCATTGCTTGGCTGTGTTCTTCACGGTCTTGTCAGTCATATCCACTGCCATCAACACCTAGTCCTAGTAAAGGAATTGTAGGGGAAAGATAAGTTTGTAGAAGATAGCTTTCCTTGTTATTCTTTTGGTTCAGAGTTTGGCATTGCTGCTTGGAATGTGCTTGGCTGCTCTTCTGTGTTGATGCTATGCCTAGAGAACCTCTTGGATATTTTAAAAAGGTTGATAAAATTAGAACCTATGATAGCTACACCTAGTGAGATGATAGCCTGCAAGAGCCCTTCACAAGGACACCAGTGAGCAGAGCAAAATCTAGGATGTAGGAAGTTTCCAGTTCCTTGTTGCTTTATCACTGTAGAATATGATTTGTTTCCTGGATGGAAATAAATTGCAAAAGGCAATTATAGTTTTGATAGTGGTTCATCTAGCCATACTGAGTGTATTGCCTCTCTAGGAACAACTAGCCAAGTTTGCATTTCTCATCTTTAAGCTATGAAATAATAATGAGAGCATTCTACTTCATTCTCTATGTATCAGCCACTAGTCAGTATATACTAGAGCCCCCAGTATTCTTAAACATGCACTTCAACATTTGAGTTTCCTTATGAGGTCAGTGTAAGATGAGGTTTATTTTTCAATAATAGCATAGCCCTGTGAAGAACGCTTCACAGGCTTTATCCATCTTGGAGCTCACTAGACTTAGAAGCTAGTTAAGAGGTGTGATGCTTTCTCACATGCATAGCTCCCAAAATGTTTTAGACTCAAATTCTGGACAGTTTGGCCTCTTTTGAGCCAGAGAAATGTTAGAATTACTTTACTTGCTCTTTTAATTATTTTATTCTTTCTAGGTATACCCAAGGTAAGTGAGGAAAGAATAGTAGAAACAAATCCAAGACCATCTTGCTATATTGTCCTATTTAAAAAAATCACTTCATAAACTTAAGAGAAACAGTGTCGATAAAGAAGCCAATTTCATCATGAAAACTAATGCTGAAAGGTTCCACTTTGGTTTCTCAATATAAGTATAAAGCAGGGTGAGCCTTATTAGTAATCACACAGAGAGATTTTAGTGCTGAGATAGAATAGATTTCAGCCAATATAAGGCAGTCAGTCTTAAGCAGAGGGAACTTGCCAGCAACACAGTATGGCTCTGTGTATGCTGGCCTACAGGACAGCCCTGTCATTAACTTCTAGGGAGTTTCTACTCTGCCTGTCCCTAGTTTTGATCTGAGTATAAAACAAAAGTCGTAGTTACTAAAGGTGAAGTCTAGGAAGGGAATTTGATTGACCAAGAGTCAAAAGCTCTCAATGAGTCCATCAGATGGTGTCACTACAGAGGAGGAGGAAATGGTATCCTTGGATCTCCGTCAGTCAAATTTACAGTCTGGCCATGGCAGTTTGGTTTTCAAAAGGCTTGGTTCTCTGGACTATTTCAATGGAACCAAGGCACCTTCCATAAGCCAATGCTCCCACTGGCCACTCAACCATGAAGACCACTCTCAACTAATGGGTCAGAACATACTGGGCTTTGTTAAATGTGATATGTTTCCCACTAAAGCATAGGCTTTAGTATATCATAAATTCCTCTACAAAAGCTAATATAGATCCCTAAAGAATACTCAGACAACCCACTGGACATTTGAAAATCACTATACCAGGCACAGCACAAATCATAAATACCAAAGGCAGTTAAAAATATAATGGTGTCTTAAAAGGGAGCATTCTCAATCCAAACTATTGGCTTACTGGTACATAGAATCATAAAATAGCAAAGGACTGTACATACTTAGATATTCTTTGTAACAAATGACTTTTTATCAGATTCTTTTCTGTGAGAATGAATCTTAACATCTTAAGTGATTGTTGGAACAGAGTAGCCCTTTTGGCTTCGTTTCTTAAATGAAGACATATTTGGAAATAATAGTCTCCCCAGGAGGTAACCCATAATTTTATATCCACAGCATATGGCTTAGTACCAATAATAGTAAAAAAAAAAAAAAAATTCTAAATGGAAACAGTTATTTTCTTTGTGCTAGGATTAATTCTAGCACTTGTCAGAACACTAACACTCAGGTACCCCAGGAATGGTTTTCATCCCTCACCAGCCCCTGTTCCTTGTTGGGGAATTCAGCTTCTTCCTCTCCTTGAGTCAGTTCCTGCTACAAAGCACAGGTGCACATCAGTCCCTTTCTGCAGAACTGCAAAAGAATGAGTGGCAGAATCACAGTCCTGAACCTCACAATGATGACACCAAGGAATAGAGCCAACCATGAAGTGTGGCACCTTTCACCCCCAGGCATGAGGGCTTGCAACTCCTGGATCTCTCGTATGACTAGATAGAGAACAGAGAGGGGCTACTTCCTATGAGAAATAAAGCAGCTGCCTAGTTACTATTGCAAGTGATATCTCCACTGTGTTAAATTACAGGTCATAAATGGAAGTGAGATTATTCAAACAGGCAAGTAATCCCTGTGCGTTCTCTAGCTGAGCAGTTCCCAGCCCTGGCCAGTACACTGGCCTCCTACACATTCCAGCTCCTGGCACTCCCATGTCCTTCCTTTCAGGCATGTTAGATTGCTTTGTGTTCTAAGCCAGGCAGAATCCAATGTCATAGCAATTTTTGCCAACTGAACTTTACTTTCAAAAGATCTAGTTTCCTGTTTGAGGTTGTTTTTTATTTGTGGGGGTTGTTTGTTTGTCTTTCCTTTAATTTCTGTTTTATTTGAGAGGTTGACAGGAGGGAAACTACAAAGGGAGTTTTTCTGCTTAGAAACTTTCAGGTGTCTAGAAGAGGTTGTGTGATATCAGTTATTATTTGTAGGCAATATGTAATTATAGTCCTTCTCAGGTTCTTTTTTGACCCTTTAAGACTCAATTTGATTTTTTGAGGGGGTGGAGGATTGTCTTGTTTTGTTTTTGTGAATGCTTAATTTTTTTATGAACCCCGAAAATGCTATTTTCCTTAGTATTGGGGCCTTGTCATTTGTCCCAAAACTGAAATAACTTTCCTTACCTATTTTAAGAAATTACCAGTTATGGTACAAATTTTCACTTATTAGGTAATATGCAAGAAATTTATCAAAATGAAACAAATGTTTATTAAAAATTTAAATACCATTTATTCTGCTTGGGGTCATTCCTCACTATGAGGAAGGACATTATATTTGGAATCTACCTATTGTTCTTTTTGACTTGTCCTTACTTATTGTCTTTGAAAAAAGCTGTATTAATTTTCCCACTAAATTCCACTAGCTATAATTTTTAAGTAAGTACTATTTTTAAGAGCTTTACAAATCTTTCTTTGAATTTTTCCCATTCTTAAAACAAGTCACCTTTCTTTAAAAAAAAAAATCTTATACCGTCAGTGGATAGTTAATAATACTGATTCTGTATGTCTTATCACCTGAGTTTTACAGCAGAAAATGGGAATTATTTTAATGAATAGTAATAGCAAGAGTTGGGTTGCTTTTATTTTTTCACTCATTTGAACTGTAGCCACCACCTCTACTGCCATAGACACCTCCTTCTCCCAGCAAAGTGAGTGATGGAGAAAGGCAAGAATTGCCTGATGCTGTCGTCAGCGGTGGCTTTACCCAGACTTCCCCAGGACCATCTCGAGGCTTGCTCCTAGCAGTGTGTTCCAGCAGAGCAGCACTAGGTTGGCAGCCCTCTGTAGCTTCTGCTTCCACAGCAGGAACAGCAGCTAGCTTCAGCCCTCTTGCTGCTCTTTAAACTGTACCATGATAAAACTTGTCTCTTGTCTTCCTGAGTGAACTCAGAGACTCCCAGGAAAGAGAGCTTCGTTTGCTGTTAGGGTTGATCCTCGTGGGCTATTTTCTTTTCTATTTATGAGCATAGGTAAAGATTGTCCCTCTCTGTCATTATTTTCTGAAATATAGGTACTTCGTGTTTGTTGGGAAAAGTCCTAGGATGACTCAAAGATAAAAGTCTCAACTAATTTTTGTGAGACTGATGATGTTTTATCTTACTTTAACTTTTCGTCCCTCCTTCCCTCTCTCTGGTGGATATGAGGATATTCAACAACCCATAGTTCCAAAATATTGTCTCTAAAGCATTGTTTGTTTGCTTGTTTGTTTGTTTGTTTGTTTGTTTGTTTTAAAACTCAAGAGAAAATGAAAGCATTCCCTTTACTGGGTAGCTTTCCTGGAGTAACTGAGCTGGAATGGGTCTAGGAGCCTGTGTTCTCTGTCTGTTCTCATGTGTCATGTTGATAGCATCCCTTTCAGCACATCTCCCTCCCCATATTCTAGCAACTCCTTGGTCTGAGCTTCTGGCTGCTCTTCTCTCCTCTTGCTCTTGCATCCTCACCTTGTTGGAGAGTCTAAACTGCCACCACGTATTGCTTTAATCTGAGCAATGTGACTTCTTCCCAGATGGGACTGTTATGCCTTCTTTGGGAGGTGAACCCATGGATCACGTGCACTTCTCTTCTGTGAAATGAAACCTCTGGTGCTTCTTTCTTTGCCACCTAATTTCCATGTATCAGTTTTAACAAAAGCACTTAGTACATAAAGGCAGCTTGACTCATGGTGTCATTTTCATAAGACAGCCTAGTAATACCTCAATATATCGTTGGTAATAAGTCTTGTGCAGAAGAAAAAAGAGAGATTAAGGGGAGGAGGAGCTGAACCTAACCAATGTGCAGAAAGAGGCAGAGACGTTCCATTTGTTTGGGGAGCACCATGTGTACTGTGCTGTGAGAGAAAGTATTGGACTAATCATTCAATAAAGAAGGAAAGTGGCTTCCTCCATGCAGCCTGAATAAAGCCCTGATTGGTGTGTTGTAGGAAAAGCGGATCGTGTCCCTGGATTCAGCCAACACAAGACTGATGAGCGCACTGACTCAAGTGAAGGAGCGGTACAGCATGCAGGTCCGCAATGGCATCTCTCCCACCAACCCCACCAAGCTTTCCATCACGGAGAATGGTGAATTCAAGAACAGCAGCTGCTGATGGACTTTGTGAATACAGACTGTGGGAGGAGACAGAAGGAAGCTGCCCAGCTCTCCTATCCCAGCCCTTTACCCTCCAGGTTTACAGAATGTTGCTTCAAATAGCAGTGTGTTGAGAAACTCTGAAATGAAGAAAGAAACCTTGTCTTTCAGGGCATAAAGCAAAGACTCCCAATGTCGATGCTTTCCCAGTGTCTCTATGTACATAGGGAACTTAGTTCTGGGCCATGTACAAAAATACCACTGTAATATACCAAAAGGAAGTTAATAATGTAGATTACCTTTTTAATTATTACTATTTTATTATTGTTTTTCTCTCGTTGAAAGCACTGCAGTTTCTAGTGGAGGAAAAGTAGGAGCCGAGTGAGAGTGAGAAATGAGCCTGTCAGTTCAGTAGGTAGAGACTCTGTGTATTGGATAGGAGCACATGGAGTGCAATAGGACCTTGTCAGAATGATTTTTTTTTTCCCCAGGGATTCATCTGCCAGTTTAAAAGCCCCACCCTAGACCCTTACCATTAGGAAAACATGCAATACCAAGACCTATACAAAACAGTAATTTATGCCTCTGGTCAGCCAGGATGGTTCTGATCAGACAGTAATCTGATTTAGAGAGGACATGGATAAAAGTGGGTGGTTGTACCAAAACTGAATTAGAAATGAGTTCTGAATTCTGTCAATATGTTTCCTCCATCTACAGCAGATGGAATCTTCTGCTTTAGATATGGGACTTCTTTATTTTTTAACTCCTACTTTTTTTTAAACTACTCATAGGAGTTGACAGAACTCTACATATCTATGTCTCTCTACCATCTTCATTTTCCTTGGGCACTGCCCTTGCCTCCCCATGCTGGGAACGGTCAGCACCAGCAGGCTTGACTCTCCACTGAGAGGTTTTTCAAGTGTGCCATTCATTAGCCATCTGAATAAATACCCTTTCTTCCACACAAAAAAGGGCTAATTACAACAGAGCAGGAATCTCGTGACTATTTCCCACTCAAATTTTCCTTCCTATTTGTGTTTTTACTTAGGATAAAGATTGTATCCACCATACTAACAAATCTGTGGGCAGGGCTATTTCATCACCACTTTTAACTTTTAAATTGCTGCTTCTTTCTGTTTATCCCTTCCATAAAATTTGGGAAGGAAATCTAAAACTGAAGCATGTCTTTCTTTTTAAAATGCTGATTAATCTTGCTACATAGAACCAGAATGTGAGGATGGCACATTCCAGTTGTTATTCCACACTCGTGGTAGACTCAGCAAGAATGACCCAGCTTATTATTAATGGCTTTAATACAGGACAGAAAATCCATGTTTTTCTCCAGAGTGTGACATGTCACCTGGAATGCAGGCTTAATTACCAGAGGCGGAAAAAGGTAGCTGCAGGTTAAACAAATATTATATATAAATATATATACATATATTCACACATATGTACATATAATGTGCACATCAAAAATGTTCATACCTTCTATGCTGTCAGATATACACAGATAATGTTTAAAAGGGTCCTGAATCTCTTTAAGCAAGATCTACACCATTTTACGTTGAAAAAAAAAAAAACAGCATTTCTCAAATAAGTTAATGTTTTGTTTTGGTTTTTTTAAGTTATATACTTTAAGATTTTTTTTTAAGTAAAGGATGCGGAGGAAGACATAACAGAGCCATATGCATGGAGTATGTGTTTCTACATAGTAGAATATTTATAAAAAACAAGAGAACGTGTAGTACCCTCTTTGTTTGAAGCCCAGGCATCCATACCAAGCCCTCCTTTCTACCAAGTCCCAGGCATGCATTCCAAGTCTCCCTTGCCCCTTAGATTGACCTTTATGTCTGACCTTGCATTTCAGCAACCTCACCAGAACCCTCAACTGACCACCTTTGGAAAGGGTTTCTTCATAATAACCTTTTTGTGTCAGACAAACGTCTAAAACAGGAGCATCTCACTGTGCTTGGAGCTGCAGGCCTCCATGGCCACTTGAGTGTTTTCTTGACCCTTAACGGCTATTTTACCAGGTCTTATCTCCTCTCCAAACTGAGGCCACATTGTGTTAAAATTACTTCAGAAGAGAAAAGTTTTTTGATTCTGCAGTAATGGCCTGTATTGAGTGAAGAGGGAATGTAAACATAGATCTTTTCTTGTTTGTAGCTTAGCAGTGTTTCCTTCATTCTTGAAAACCCTTCAGTAGTGCCACAGAGAAGCTAGGCAATTCTTAGTCTCAGTGGCCTGAAGTATATGATGTGGTGACGTCTTTCTTTGAGGTTGAGAAGGTATTGAGATGCTGGTTATAGATTACAGAGTTGATCAAATAAGTGTAGTGATGAATGCAGTGTAACTATCAACACTCTGGCATCTCTGAGTGCCTGTCTGCACTGCAAGATTGAATTTCAAAACGTTTGGACATAGGATGAGGCCCTCTAGCCATCGTGTTACCATGAATGAAGAGAAAAAAGTAAAATAACAAAAATAGTGAGAGGATTAGAGGTCAGAAGTTCAGCATTGTTGCCAGATATTAAATCTCAGATTATTCTTTGAGCCTACTCATCTTTTTAGCCTATCAGAAATATTATTCTGGAGTATAGCTCGGTTGGCATAGTGCCAGCCTAGCATGCCAGAGGCCATGGGTTCAAATCCCAGCACTAATGAACTGGGATAGTGGCACACAGGCCTGCAATCCCAGCACCCCAGGGATGGGAGCAGGAGGAGCAGGAGATCAAGGTCATCTGCTGCTGCAGAAGTGTCCTGGCCAACCTGAGTTAAGACCCTGTCTCAAAATGCTAAAAAATATTTTTTTAAATATTTCTTTAGAGAATTTTGAAATCTTACAAAGTTTATTTTGAATTTTTTTAAGTATAGAAGAGGACAGCAGCGGGTGCTGATTTATATGGTGTTTCTTTAACTCCAATAGGTACATCATTTTGTTTTACTGGGAAGAAATGTGTGATTTTTAAAAAGCAGATGGGTTAAGTAGCTGCATCTTGCGATTCCTGTTTTTGTCAATACGTCAACATGTTACAGGGTGAGAATAGACCAGGGTTGGATGGAGTTTGGTATTCAGGTGATGTACTTGTGAAGCTTTTATCCCAGTGAGGGCCTGACTTGACCATTTACAAGGACAGCCTTAATAGGACCAGGAAAGGGGCTTCCTGTTTCCCTCCTACATCACTAGAGCAATAAGATTTCCAGGCTTTTCCAGAACAGCAAAAGGTCCTATTCCCATAAGACTAGCATTGCTTCAGCATCTGCCCCTGTGTGCTGCTTGGCTCTGAGCCAGTCTTTTACTTGGTGTGGAAACTGAGGCAATTGTGCTACTATGACTGTTGTTGCTTTTTCACTTACCATCAGGTTGGTGTTAAGTGTTAACTAAGGAACATTAGTGTTGGAGCCGGTCTGCTTCTGTCCTCTGTTATGGGGTTGCACAGTAAAAATGTGAGCGTTTCTAAGATTGCTGTAAACATCCAGTGTGCATACTGGGGCTGAGCAGGATTTCAGTGGCTTCTGTATTCTTACTGTACCTGTGACTTTTGTATGGGATGGCAGCTCTACAGAGCCCTGGCTTCCACTGTGTCCTCAGGGAAGTAGTTTAGGAGCAGGGTTTTTGTTTGAAGTTCCAGAGGACAATTGCCATCAAGTGTGTTTGCTTTAGTGTTTGCTCTGCTTCCTCCCAGGTACAGTTCCTGAGAAGGCCTGTTAAGGGACTGAGCTGGGAGAAGCAGCCTTCTTCAGGATCCTCAGTCAACAGACTGACTGAGCCCCAGGCTGGACTGTAGACTAGCCATGTCACTGGCAAACTCAGCATTTCCAGAGCCCATCCCACAGTTTTACTTCATGGAGGTGGGGGGGGGGGGGGTGTCTCCTTCTGCTGCAGATTAAACAAGTTCAGGGAACATTCTGCTCTATACCCCTTAGCTCTTTCTTTCTTACTTCTTTCTTTCTTTCTTTTCTTTTTTTTTTATGGTTTTTAGAGACAGGGTTTCTCTGTGTAGTTTTGGTGCCTGTCCTGGATCTTGCTCTGTAGACCAGGCTAGCCTCAAACTCACAGAGAACCGCCTGGCTCTGCCTCCCAAGTGCTGGGATTAAAGGCATGTGCCACCACCACCCTGCACCCCTTGGCTTTTTTCAAGTCAGTAATGAACTCTTCCTTGCTTGCCTCAGCAATAAAAAGTCACCTTCCCACCCTGTACCTGGGATACCCTTTAAAACTATTAATAATTTAAAGGACTTATACTTGTTTCTTAAAAGCAAGTAATGTTGAAGTTTCAAATTTGTAAGTACAAGCTTTTTTTATGTTTGAATAATTGTTATCAGTTCTTATAAAGCACCCTCCTGTCACAGACCATCTAGGAAAGCTCTTGAGCTTTGAAAGGACAAGGGTGATGCAATTTGCATGAAAGAGAGTAAATTTCTTCCGGAAAGATCCTGAGGAAGACACATGATCCAATGGACTCCGTTCCTCAGAAGTTCAAAGAAACAAGTGGAGTTGCGTCACCTGGCTCCTCCTAAGATGTATATGTGGAAAGGCAGCTCCTGGGACATCATGTGCATGCCTACAGAAATACACACCTCTTAGGGCATCCCTTTAAAAACAAAAAAGTTAATCCACTTTATAAACTAGTCATTCCTAAACTTTCTTGATGTTTTGTTTTTGTTTTGTTGTTTTTTAGATTTTATAAAATTCTATTCTCTTTTAAATGTACTATATGTGTTATATGTATATATAAGTTAAAGTAACTTGAGCTAGGTATCATTATTGGTAGCATAGAGAATATGGAGTAACAGATGACTGTCACCATCCGAGAGCAGAATACAGAAAGTAGTTTTGGTTCCTCAATCAGTTAATGCTCAGGTGTTTGAACAGCCCAGCTAGCCTTGGTAAATGCAGCAGGCCACCCGAAGAGAGGTCAGGAGTACTTTGACCCCATGGTACAGCACATTTTAATTTTCTACTCTGTTATTTTTTATCAAATGCCCTCATTGTTCCCTAGGACGTCTTGGAACTGAAAACCTGACTGTACTGTTGGTGCGGTGACATTTCCACAGCTGTGTTTTAGGGGTCCCCATCCTCTGTGTGTGGTCATGCATTTGAATATAAATAGCATGGTTATGTCATTTCCAAACCCTGAAGGAAATTATCAATTTCCAGTTCACTAAAGGTTAAATGCTAATTAACTCGATGACCGCTATCCTACAGAAAAGCTAAAATATGTAGTAAAGGTTGAATTTTGACTGGTGCTTAGATATTTCTAGCTATATTAGGATCAACTCAAGCAAACAGCAGCATATTTACCTGGGTCACACCTGTGAGGAATTTTTCTTCCAAATTTGATTTTGTTTTCATCTCCAGGGCCTTAATAAGAGTGTGTTAATACACATGACTATTTTACAAAGATAGTTCAAAATAATTTATTTTTTATTTCAAGAAAGAGAAATTCACCTTAGAAAAACAAAACCCAAGATTTTATTTTATTTTTAAAGCCATATTTTTGTGCTTTGTAGCACTCAAGATTGTTCCATATGTGATCCATATCTGCATTTCATTACCTGGGTTCTAAAAAAGATTTATTTTTGTTCTGTGAATAATTTTTGACGGTTCTTGTACATGTACAGATATAGATACGTTTGAGGTCTTTTATTGATATTCCTACAAAAAATACAAATAAACTTTAACTTTAAACATTTCGGAGTAAAGTTGCTACTGTATTTGTAGTACTGTTTCTATCATACATATATCTATGTTATGTGCTATCTTCTAACATATCTTCTGGGCACTTAGGACACTTGGTACACTGGGATATTATTCTGAAGATACATTTTAGCATTAGGAATATCTTGCCTTAAAATTTTACAACTTACAGGTAAAATACTTATGTGTAGGACAAATAACTGGCACTGGTATCAGTTGTGTTATGGTGATGCCCTTGGAAAGAAAGCTTCCTTCAGCTGCCCTAAGCCACTGTTTCCTCTCACATTCCCCACAGAGTTTGTTCTTAGGATTTTTCTTGTTCGGGTCAGGGAGTTGTCCTTATTTATCATTCTCAAGGTGTGCTATCTTCAGCTTATCTCTCTCACTCTAAAACCCAAGAATGCAGGTTTCACATGTCATTTCTTTTGTGCTACATATAGGACTATGCATCCTGGAACACTCCAGGTTATTTCTAATCTTGTGCTAGAAGGAATTAAAAAAAACCTAAAGACAGCCTGAATGACTACTTAAAAAGGAAAGTGAAAATTAGCGGATGTTTGCTATTTTTTGTTCACTTCGAAGCCGACCCATTTCAGTGTGAATTCCTCATGACCTAATATAAGCTTTAAGACTTCTTGGATCTGAAACATTAAAAAGAGAGAAGTGGGGCTGGGGATATAGTTCAGTGGGATCCGTTCCTAACCCAGCACCACAAAAAGAGAAAGAGAAGCAACTGACGATACTTTATGACCCTGTGGCTCACTTAGCTCTAAATAACTAACAGATATACTCTTCTTTATGTCCTTCCACACCGTTTCTTTCCTAGCCTGCCTTCACCTGTGTGCACCTTGCAATAGCACCAAGTTACTCAATGACTCTCAATCTTTACTGAGCATCAGACTCATTGGGTAAATTTAAACACACACATATACATGCATACATATGTATACACATATGTATATGCTCTATTACTCCATATTGCCCTCTGAACACTATGTGGGGTAACTGTAGCAGTGTCCTTCATCATTGTTCCTGAGGTTTGGATAAGTTAGCTGCAGGTGTTTTCTTACTTTTTACTTACAATTTTAAATGCTGTTAAGACCCCACACTACCTTGTCCTTATCAACTTCATTCCTTCTCTATCAGTGAGACAGGAAGTCTGTGGCATGCTAATGCCATAAAGCTCCTTTACCTTGGTTTTGTTTTGGTTTTCTTTTTCATAGTGTGAGGGACCAAACCCCAGGCCTCAGGACCATCTGACTTATGGAACAAATACATTCTGACAAAGCTAAACAAGAGGTGGGATTTACCAGTATAAACCCAATTTTCTCACTGGCTCCAGTTTAGTACATAAGATAGATGCTTCTGCATTAGGCTTTGAGCAATGTTTTCTCAGGCTATGTTCAGTAATCAGTTTAATTATTGTAGCAGTAATGCTAATAGGAGCTAATATTGAGTACCAACTGTGTGCCAGACAGTTTGCTAAGATTTTATACAGAACATGCAAGCACTTTACCAACTAAGACATCTCAGCCCCAACTCTCTTAATATATTGGCTTTGACAATACTACTTTGCATTATTGTCACCTATATGATCAAAATTCAAAAAGCTAGACATCTTACCTCACTCAAAAGTTGGTCTTTCATCTCTTCTGGATCACTCAGTGATGAGATGGTAAAATCTGCTTTCAGGATTCCAAAGGAGTGCTCTGGAAAAGAAAATGTTTCCTAGTTTAGAAGAATGTCACCCATTGCCACTTGAACTTTTCAGTTCTTGGAAGTTAGGAGTACCCATTGGATATCATAGGTGCTACATAGTGACAGAGGATTTCAAAGAGAAAAAGAGGGAAATGGCTGAGCCACAATTAACACCACCAAGCAGTGCCCCCAAAAGGAACTCCTGTGTTTTGTACCAGTATCAGCTCTCTTCCCACACCATCTCTCCTGTGATCTTCTGTTCCCTTTTCATAAATCTACTATACAGATATTCTTAGCCATGCTGAAATTTCACCCTCCCTTGGGCTCCCTACCCAGAAAACCCCCAAGGAAGTTCTCTAAACTAATAGGTAAGTTCATATTGGAATTTTCCCAAGGGCCTGCCCTGAGAAAGTTCCTCCCAGGGTCCTGGGGAAGACACTATGTCTGGCGTGGGGTTATCTGAGGGAAAAGAATATGTACACCATGCTCTTTTGTCCATTTATTTCTCTATGACAAAATTTTATCTATACAACTTCAGCCCCATCCTCTGTACCTACTACTCTGTCATAGTCCTAAACTCCTGTGCTTTCAACCTCATCTTTATCTGTTCCTTCATCCTCCATCTTTCCTTCCTTGCTCTGAGAAACTCTGCTTCCTTCTCTTCTCCCCAGCCACATGACTCTGCCTACACTCTACAGAAACTGCCTTGTTCTTTTTCTACCAGCCATGCAACTCTGCTCTGGCCAGGAATCCTGCCCCACCCTTCACTCCACCTGGATATACAAAAATCTCCTTTGTTCTGAGTCAGTTGCTCTGGAATGCCATTTTCCCTGTCTTGGGAAGTCTGAGCTTCATTTGCACAAGAAACAAGGCTATGAATCTACAGTCCACCTGTCTCCTAAGCTCTGCAGGAGTGTTACCTAGTGGATCAGCAGAAGGTCTGAGAAGCTAAAATGTTTGCCATATGGCCTAGTAGCATATGGGTACACAAGAATTTCATAGCAGAATACAGCTGATAAATATTAATAAGCTAAATAACACCAAATATTCCTTGGCTTCCTCTTGAAGGACTCCTTGGTCTGTCAAGGTATAGCTTAATATAGACAGCTGAATCTCTATAATATATTCTTGTGGCTCACTGCAAGTAAAATCTTAGCTATATGTCAACCATAATCATCATGTATTTGGTAGGACATGTATTTGCAGAGCTTTTTGACAACTTACAATGTTCCGTTGCCTAAGTACCTCGTTGTATGTTCACAGCAACCCTATGATATAGGGAGTTTTTACTGAGCCCCTTTTGAAAATGAGAAAAACTACAGAACTAAGGTATGATACTTGTTTCCCTCACTATACTTGCAGTAGTCACGCAACTTGAACTAGAATCCTCATCTCCTTCCTATCCCCATTGCCAACATTTTATGTTATCTTTCCTAAGACACCCCCCCCCCCAAGTATCCTGGGCCAGGAGTGACTAGATTTTTAAGTCCTAGGCTATTAGATGGTAAGTTAGCAAACAGAAGCCATTACCCAAGTCTGCTGCTGGTTTCTCTTTAGACCCTGGGTGCTTAGCTGAGCTTATGTGTTGGGCCTGGGTGGCAGTAGCTGTATCTCCTGTATGTGTGTCATCCTCTATGCTGGTCACAGCTACAGGGAAAGAAGAATAAAGAAATTAATGTAAATGTAGCCAGAAATCAAGGAGTCTGATACTGGTGACTGGCTGTGAGCCAGAAGACGGGCAAAGGCAGCCCTGCTGTGGATAGTTGCTTATTCCTGCCAATCCTTCACGTGCCCCCCAGGCTCTTGTCCTCCATCTCTAGAGTTGTTCGCCCACCATTCAGAAAGTGCTCCAGCATCAGGCTGTGTGAGGCTTGAGCAATAGCATGAGGTTCCACCTCAGTTCCAGTTTATTTTCTTTTAGTAGCACTTAGCCCAAGAAGCCTGGTGCTTTAACATTACCAGGTGAGCTGTGCATCCCCTCCCTATGGTACCCAGAGGAGCCTTGACCTCTCTGCCAAGGCAGTACCCCAAATCAAGCTTAACTTCTGGGCTTACACTAGGCACTCTAGCCAGAGACCAGGAGTCCTCAATTACTGTCCCCTTCATTCCCTGATCCTGTGTTTCTCCTTTTCCCACAATTGCCCTACCTCCAAATATGGACATAATCATACTATTTAGAGGTCTACTACTATAAATTATTTAAGAAAATGCCCCAGCCCTAGGAAAAAAACATTAGCAGTTTGCTAGAGAATATCTTTGACAGGTTGAAATTTTTTATTTAAAATGCCAAATCTGGCCGGGCGGTGGTGGCGCACGCCTTTAATCCCAGCACTTGGGAGGCAGAGCCAGGCGGATCTCTGTGAGTTCAAGGCCAGCCTGGGCTACCAAGTGAGTTCCAGGAGGGGCGCAAAGCTACACAGAGAAACCCTGTCTCGAAAAAACCAAAAAAAAAAAAAAAAAAAAAAAAATGCCAAATCTACCTTACTCTAAAAGAATGCATAGTATTTCATCAAGTATGGCATGACTGACTTAAGCAGTCTTCTCTTGGTAGATGTTAGATCACTTCTCATTTTCAGTACAATAGACAGTGTTGGGTGTGTGTGTGTGTGTGTGTGTGTGTTTACCTTGTACTTATTCCCTTTAGCGATGTCTAAGTGTAGAATATCTGTAGGAAGGGAAATGCCCATTTTAAAACAGATACCTTGCTAGCACCAGTTTACAGCCTACAGTATTGGTCATGTCTGTTCTTCCCAAATTCTCATTATTACTGCCTTTAAATCTTTGTCAAACTGTTGTTAGGTGAAGAAATAAATTTTAAAATAAAACTTAATTTTTAAAGTTGGGTTCATTTCTGTGGTTTCATGAACGAATCTTTAAATGTGTTGGTATTTCTTGCCTAGTGTCAAGACTAATGTCACTAGTCTTCATGTCCCTCCTCACTTCACACTGCCTCAACCTACCCACCCAGGCTGTTCTCTCGTGTTGAGCCTTCTCCACCAGCCCACTTTTCCTCATCCAAAGGCTTGTACATCTCTTTAATAAATGAAGAAATTGGTAAGACTCAGAAACACAGAAGTGGGGGAAGGCTTGTAAGCCCAGCTTTACACATTTCCTCCTGGCCATTTTTAAGCCTTTGATTGATATTTCTCTCACTGTTGAGACTGTTACATACATACTGAATTCTGCTATTTTCTTTTAGCATCCTAATGCAATGGCGCCATGTAACTGTGGCCACCTCTAGTAACTACAGATCTGAACATTGGCTCATTTTCCAAAACTTCGTGGTGGTCCTTGACTCAGGTTCAAGTCCTTCAGAATTTGACCGCAAATCCGTCTCTTCCCTCTTCCCTGTTACTCCTTCCTCCAAAATACAACATGTACACTAACCACGTTAATCAGACTGCTTGGCAATCCCAGACAAACCTAACCCTTTGACATGTCTGTCTTGGCCCATGCCATTCTTTCAGCAAGGAAGAACTTGCAGATTTTGCTGTCATGATACTCATTACACCTTTGTCCAGAGAATGAGTGGCTTTCTGCTCTTGGTTCGTGCTTCACACATTCACAAGCTGTCCTAGTTGCCTGTATCTGTTCCTATAGGATTGCCTTTGTCTAAAAGCAGCAGGCAAGTCCTGCTCACCCTAGTTGAGACAGTATCCATAGTTCAAGGCAGGAACTCAAAAAGGGGGTTGTTAAATAGACAGGACTCAAAACAAGGAGAAAAGGAAGTAGAAAGAGTCCCTGCCCAGGAGAGTCTGCAATACTCACATTTCATAGATGACCATCTGTCATCGCTTGTAATGACATAAGAATGAGCCTTGCATATCTACTAAGGTAAGGACACTAAATGTCACTAGTGAGTTGAGATTAAGATGCTAATAACTGCATTTACCATCTGCTGGAACCAGGAATTGAGAGGTACTATATCACACTGATGTATTCTTGGTTTTAGACATGAGAAAAATGAGATTCAATGAGGTTAAGAAAGTTATGGAGACAGATGTGGTGGTTCATTTCTGCAATCCCAGCAGTTTGGAGGTTGAGACAAGAGAACTGCAATGAGTTGGAGGCCAGCCTGAGCTATAAAGTGAGACCTGATCTCAAAAGAAAGAGAAGGGAAGAAGAGAGGGAGGGAGGGGAAGGAGGGAAAAATTGTGTCTAAAGCTGTTCATAGTAAATTACAGAGCCAATATTCCAATCTTGACTGATAGACTTCAGCTCTTAAAGGTGGATTCTCCTAAATCTTCCTGCCCCATCTCTGTCCTTACTTGGTCAAGGGAGGATATGGGCTTATGAGCTGGTGCTGGCCAGACAAGATTCCCTGTAGAGAGGCTTGCAGTGCTTCCCTGCCTAGCCCTGTGACTCCTACACTCAGCTCTACACTCTGCAACTTGGTGTCTGGTTGCTGATGCCCCAGAGGAACCTGCAGGCAGTGTTATCCGACCCCTAGTGAAGCATATGAGCACCTTAAGTAGTTCCTGGCAGGATCCCAGCTATCAGCACTGGCAAACTGGCTCCAGGCTGCAAAGCATGCGCCTCATCTCTTTGGATCTCTACTGGGCTCCCTAAGACAGATGCCTCCATAGCTCTTTCTTTGGTCTCTGCAAAGCTCCACTGAACCTCTGAGCTGTGGAGCTAACTGAATGAGGAGGACTCAGAGAATATTGCCAACATGGGAATAGCTGAAACATGGTGGGTGGAACTGAACCAGGGGCTTGTGGCTACCTCCCCTGTAGACATGAGCCCACTCTGAGTTACAAGAACCCCTGGTGCATAGGTTCTGCAGTATCACTGGCAATGATAACTGGCCACGGGGTGGGGCGCAGGGGGAAGGCCACTTCCTGGTGAACTGATCCATTCCCTTGAAACACAAAACCAGTATGAGCTAGTGTCAGGGTGCAAGATCCAAAAATAAGCATTGAGCAGTGGCCATGTGCCCTTCCCCAAGAACTAAAGTGCTGTCTGGGAATAAGGGATCCAAGGATGTGGTTCTGGCAATGACCAGTGATGTCATGGACTTTTCTTCAAGGTCCAAGAACAAGCTCTGAAAAGTTAGCAGTGATGTACTGGGTCCTTCTCCCAGAATCATACTGCTTCCTGTGTGCTCAGGGTCCAAAGACAAGCTCTGAGCAGTGACCAGTGGGCTCGTGAGCCCTTCTCAAACCAAGGTACCTGCTGTAGGTGCTGATGTTGCTAGAGGAATTATCGAAACCATCTCCTGAGATTGGAGAGCTGTGAGGCCCATGGTGCTGGAGGTAGGAGTAGTGGTTTCACAGGGGCTGAAGCCACAGGTGCCAGAGCTGACCTCAGTTGGTTCATGACTCACTTGCTGCGAGATCCAAGTTGCTGAAGCCAGTGCTCGGGCGGCCTCTGTGGGGTCTGTGCTGGTCCCTATGACGAGACAAGACTTATGTGGGGTGCACTGGGCACAGGACCTTTTTCAAGGCCCTAGCCACAGGTCAGGAACTTCTAGTATCCCCTGTGGGGCAGATCAGACAGATGATCATAGCTTCAGGCCCCAATTTTCTGCCACAGTTGGTAGTATTCACCCACTAAAGACAGAGTTGACCAGAAAGGGTCTTCTGTACCTATTTGGGCCAGCCCAAGTTAGCAGTGGCTCTCAGACAACTGGGTGGATGCCAGGTTAGACCTTAACAGGGAAACAGAAGGCAGTTTCTCAACCCAGCTTCTTAGCCAAAAGAATCTATGCCTCCGCCAGCTCTCCAGTGATGGCATCTCCACACAAGCACCCTGCTCTCCCTCTTTCCTACCATCCCCTACCCGGCCACCTGCCAACCTCATCCTAAAGTCACTCCACCAAAAATCCTTCTGCTATTACAGTGACTGGATGACTTTTGTTCTGGGGTTTTCTTGATTGTGTCTGTCCCCATTGTTGGGTCTTGTCAACTGCCCTAACTTATAACCACATCAGAAAACCCCAACAGCTCATGCCCCTCTCCCAGCAGAGGAGCACGATCTTGGAAGGGGCTAAGGGATCCCTTTCGTCTTGCTTCCTTTGGGCACTGAACCTCCAAGGCCTCTGTGGTGACTGTTCCCCAGGAGCACCACTCAGCCATCTGTCCCTTTGTGTCCCAGGCCTTTATTTCTACACTGGAAAGACTGCACAGACTCTCTTAGGCCTCCTGGCCCTAGAGTTTCAAGTTCAGAAGCCCACAAAGAAGGATGTTTGTTGGGCTGGAGAGATGGCTCAGAGGTGAAGAACACTGACTGCTCTTCCAGAGGACCCAGGTTCAATTCCCAGAACCCATATGGCAGCTCACAACTGTCTGTAGCTCCAGTTTGGGGGGTCTGGCACTCTCACACAGGCATACATGAGGACAAAACACCAAAAATAAAAATCTTTTTAAAAAAAAAAAAGTGGCAGGGGGATGTTTGTAGTAAACCAATTCCTCATTTTCCTACGCATGGTTAGGCAAGCAGTATGAGGAGGAGGAGCAGAGAGCCTAATTGGCCTAAGTGGTAATTGATTGCCACTCAATTGGCATACCTCGTCTCTGTTCACTCACTAGCACTTCAGGGAAGGCCACTCACCTGGCCTCCACCCTGGGTTGTGTGTAGATCAACCATTTTCTCTAGTTTCCTAGGCCCAGAAGACCCCAGATACAGCCAAGAGCAGACTCAGAGTACCTGTGTTTGGCCTAGAGGTTGTCCTTGCAGTAACCTTGGAGGGGTGAGTCACTTTGAGGGAAGAAGTGTCAATGAGTGGAGGCCTCTCTGTCGAGGGGTCTATGAGAAAACAGAGTATAAGGGCAGGTTCTGTCACACCAACCCTGTGAGAAGTCACAGCAGATCCTACCGGTCTGCCTCCACCACAGCGAACAAACTACGGGAGCCCAGTTACTGCACACTGTAAAATTCACTGAGATAGGTCCTCTCACCTTTAATCTTTACAACAGCCCATCAATGAATACTTACTTATTTTGCAGATAGGGGCCAAGATTGTCTTCAAATCCAAAACAAAAAGAAACAGCCACAAATAGGCAAATCCACAGAGGCATAAAATCTCTTTTGGTTGTCAAGGGAAAAGTAGGACACGACTGTGAGTAAAGACTTTTGAGGGTGATGAAAGTCATCGGACTGGACGGTGGTGATGGCTGAACAGCATGCAAATGTTAAAAACCACTGAATTGTGGACTTTAAAGGGTTGTCTTTAAAAGGGGGGGGGGAATGGTTGTCTTAAGGTATGTGGATTCTTTTTCAATAAAAAGACAGCAGAAGGAGGGATGCTGAAGCCAAGGACATGGTAGGAGGCCTGTCACTAAGGAGGCATACTACACACAAGATCCAGAGTAGCCCTGCGGCCTTCAAATTCATGGTGACCATAGCTGCTGTTAACTGGCACTAGCTCTATGTCAAAATCTCCACTGTCGTTCAGCCTTAGGCATCCTATGGGGGTGGATGTCCTCAATCCCATTTGTAAAGTATGTTTTCCAGATGAGGAAAGGGAAACGGATTCTGCCCATCTTTTAGGAAGTGATAAAGTCTATCCGATTCTAAAACATGGGCTCATGGTTATTTGATGACTAATTATTGTTGCTAATTGCTATTTTAATAAGGCTGGATGGGGTTCATTCCATCCTCTGAAGATCCCCAGGATTTAAGTACCTTCAACTCCCTTTAAGGTTAAAAAAAATGTCTCAAATCAAAAGCCTGTTGTAGAATTAATTCTGTTACCCTCAAAACCTCCAAGCACTTGCTTAGGACTGCCCTGAGTACCCACCACTGTCTAATAAACTCATTTTAACTTCCATGAGCCAGGTGGGCTCTCACATACCATAGAAACAGATAAAAGGCTTCAGCTCATGGCAAAGGAGTGCATAAATCTGAGGTGGGCCATTGGAAAAGACACGGAGTCCTGCACACAGTCCTTGCCCAAACAAGGGTAGTTTCTGAAGCCACTTGGGGATGCTGGAACCCAAGCCACTGGACCAGGTCAGATTATTGATCGTCGTATCAAAGTAGAGGCCAATCCAGGCATCGACATCATTTGTGATGGACTGGAGGGTTTCTTTGCCCTCCTCATCAGTCACTCTCTGCAGATTGGCCAGGTCTGTGTAGTGGTTGCGACAGTAGGTCCGCGCTGAGAACCATGACATGGTTTTCTCAATCCGAATGAAGGTCTGTCCACCAATCTTGACCTCAGCTGGAAGCAAAGATACAGAGACCACAGGTCTGAGATCCAGGGTGTCTGCCATCCCAGCTTTCAATGACTAAGGAAAGAGCTGTTTTGACCTGGATTCTCAGGTTTTAGATTTGGTCAAAACCACCATTTTATAGGGAAACAATCAAGTTGAAGAATAATTGAGATAACAGTAGCAGCAGCTGGTGTGGAGGGATCCTTAAGGAAAGGGCTCTTCTTACAGCTATATAATTTTAAAGGTAAATGGAAAATTTCAGTTTCAACTGCTTTATCTGTCCCATAGGAATAATAATACCTAAAGTCGGGATTACATAAAACTACTCATTAGCACTTAATAAAGTGGTAGGCACTTTTTGGGAAATAGTAGTAGGTTATTCCTATGATGGAAGTTAGACAGTCTTGGTTTAGAGGTAGCCTCATTTGTGATCCAACACACATACACACACACACACATACAATGAGGGGGAGAGGGAGAGAGGGAGAGAGGGAGAGAGGGAGAGAGGGAGAGAGGGAGAGAGGGAGAGAGGGAGAGAGAGAGAGAGAGAGAGAGAGAGAGAGAGAGAGAGAGAGAGAGAGAGAGAGGGAGAGAGATCTCCTGGGAGACAACCATATCAGCTCAGATCTGGTAGGCAGGAAGCAGAGAAGATCTGCCCAACAGATCTGCTCCTTGTGTGCTCAGACAGATGACTACCTCCCTTTCCCAGGCTGGATTGCTTTTGATCCCAGAGGCAACCCCTCCCCCCGCCCCCCCACCAGAGGCCCCTTCAAGCCCATGCCTCTCTGACTCCCAACAATGGTCGTTTTGGAAAGGATGTGAGGTGCTGCAGCTCCACCTGCATTGGTTCTGGAGGTTTAGATAAAGAAAAGACTGTTTGCAGAGTCTCGAGTCATATCCTCCCATTCAAACAGGTGCCCCTCCCTACTCTCTGGCATGCACCTGCTCCCTCAGCCCTTAAGATGCGCCTGTTTCCCTAGCTAAATGGAGTTTTCATATTTAATTACTGTGCCTATGCACACATGTGTACTTGTGCATGACACAGCATTCACATGAAAATAAGAAGATAACTTGCAGAAATCAGTCCTGTCTTCACTGTGAGTGTCCCAGGAATTGAACTCAGGTCATCAAAGTTGGCAGCAAGCACCTTTACCCACTGACTGAGTCATCTCACGAACCCTAAAACTAATCCTTTAAAATTATTCTGTATTTTGCCCCTAGTGTGTGCCAGCCTTGACCCATGCCTTTGGCCTACATCACTTCTTGATGTTCACTGTCGTCCTGGAAAGTAACTATTATTAATCTTATTTCATAGCTGAGGAAAAGAGGTTGATAGTCCATCCCAAACTCAGTGTGAGGGTGAGATTAAAGCACAGGTCTGCCTGCCTGGGAAGCCTTTGCTACTTCTGTCTACATTCTGTAACACCCAGAGAACGAAACCTAAACATAGATGGATTGACTATTCCTTTATCATAGAATTTTTCTGTAAGAGATAAGAAGAAACTTTCCTTTTAAACACCAGTGCAGTGTTGTCTAAGGGACAGGAATCTTAAGAGAAGTATCTCTCTCTAGACAGAGAGCAAGGACCTGAGTTATGAGGAAATCCTATCCACTCATCAACCAACCCTGAGTCCCAGAGGAAGACTCGGATATCAGGGCTGCAACTGGCTACACACTACTGTGAGACCTGGAGCTAGTCACCTTCCCTTCTGTGTTCCTCAGGCATTGTCCCCATCAGCCTCCTGAGTTTTAGTCTGGGTACCCCAAATCCAAACATCAGGTCAGGCAAGAGATGGGGGGGGGGGTAGGCAGAGGGAACCATAGTGATCCACATTCTGCCTGCTGGTCCAGGGAGATGACTCCAAGTCAAAATAAGTCAAGATCCAGAAAAGGGAAGTATGGTGATATTTTATTTGTACTAAAATGTTATTTGTATGTTAATAAATAAAGTTGCACGGGGGTCAGAGCTATTAGCAAGCCATAGGAAAGCTGGGCGATGGTGGTGCACGCCTTTAATCCCAGAACTTGGTAGGCAGAGCTAGGTAAGTCTCTGTGGGTTCAGGGATACAGCCAGCATTGGATACACACGCCTTTAATCTCAATACCAACCATAGAAGACCTCGAGGTCTGTACAGACAGGCAGTGACGAGGTGGTCATGTGGTTGGGTTTACAACCAATGAGAAGGCAGAACAGAAATTCTATATAAAGACTTTAACACAGGAAGTAGCTCTCTTTCGGAGAGGTAGGACCACCGCATGAGGAAGGGTAAAGTTTTAGCTCTTAGCTCTGACCTCTTGGCTTTCTTCTTTGCATTGGTTCTGTGTTTCTTATTTAATAAGACGGTTGGTTACATCTACATGGAAGACAGGGCCACGTTACCTTCTTCTGGAAGAGTGGTCAGTTCTTGAATAGTGGACCCTGAGGATCTGCGGTGTCCTACAGCGGGGTCTGTAAAACAGAAGCAGACATCAAATTAGGGGTTGGGAGTGAGAACTGCCCAGGACCACCAGATTGGAGCCAAAAGCAGTTAAATTCAAAGGTGAGCTGGCCCATTCTACATTTATTCAGTAAATATAGATTAAGCACCTATTGTATGGCTGGTGCTACTCCCTAGGAAAGTGGTAGAAATAACACAGAGACTTTGCTTTTAAGGATAAGATGAGAAGGAACCACCTAGACCCAACAGAGTGAGGACAGTGGTCCACTATCCAACTGAGGAAAAGAGCTGTGTGGATTGGAGAACAGAAATAAGTCCATACACCACAGCTAGAGAAAGGACTGAGGAGTGAGGCCAAAGAGACCAAACAGAGCATGATTGTCTATAAAAAGAATGGCATTCCAAGTGCTTTGAAGGTCTGCTAAGTAAGGAAGTTATCCGATGTCTGTTAAAACTCACTGTTCAGACAACAGACGGTAGCAGGCACAGAGCAGACCCATGGAAGTGAGTGGTAATTTGCCCCATGCACTCACAGTGGACCTGCAGAACTGGAGAGAACTGAGTGGGGCCAGAATGTGTTGTAGCTGAGTTGTAAGACTATGAAGGAAGCAGGAAGAAATCCATCATACACAGCTCTGATTTTTGGCAGGCATTCCTACTGAACCCACTGGCCACCCCTGGAAATCTTTACGTTCCCTTGGAACCTAGAGTTAAAACCAAGGCCATTGTGAGCTTCTGTTTCAGGGTTTCCTGGCAAGTATGGTGTGGCTGTGGCTTAGGGAAATGACAAAATGACCTCCATGTCAGTATCTGGGCAATCAGGGTGGCATAGAATTACGCTGAGCCTTGGCTGGCCAAGAAAGACAGAAGATGGCACTTTTTACCAGGAAACCGCAATCCTATCCACAACCACACCTCCATGTTACCTCTTGTCACCAATAAGACAATGACAAGGACAAGGATAGTCATGGTGTGGGCTCCAAGGGGCACACAGCACAGGTGAAACACAAAGATGGGGTGTTCCCCAGCAACCAGTACCATGATGTACTGACAGCAGATCCCCAGCAACAATGTCTGGACTTGGTCCTAGTCACCACTTAGCGAGAAGCAAAAGGTCTCATGGGGTGAATGGACTATTCTCTGCCACCCCCTAGTTAGACAATAGACTGTACCCTGTGCTTCATGAGGTGAGACCTTGAATTCTGCTCTCATAGGTAATGGGCCCTCCAACCTGTTTTTCCCATTTCCTTCATTGCTCAAAGCTTTAATTTAAAGATGGAAGAGATGTAATGGAACATTCTAGACATTTTTCTCTCTATCCTTATTTACACCTAGTTTCTTGGTGTGGTCTTGGGAATAGAGTATAGAAAGACCACAAACTAAGGTCATAGAGAGGAAAGGATGCTAGGAGGAGAGTGAGGGAGCATCCAGTTACTCTCATGGATGCCCCCCCCCCCCCCCCCCGCCCAGATACACACACATTCCTCTCTTCCTCTCCCCCGTCCCAAAACAATCTTGGAGAAAATAGAACAGGCCCAGAACATTAATCTGAACACACCATAATAGCAAATGAAGGGCTTCTGAGCTGTGCAGGTGGCAGCCCCTAGGACAGGGACCGAGATCTTTGAATACACAGTAGCACAGATGCCATCTTGGAAGACAGGCAGTGTACTCCATGTCGGGGTGGCAAAGATGGAACCACTAGACCAGCTCAGGCCAGAGATGCGCACATCATAGAAGAGGCCGATCCATGCCTGGGTACTGCTGAGGTAGGAGTAGACCACCATGATGCTCACTGGGCTGTTCATGCTCTGCAGGTCGGCGAGGTCTGTGTAACGCTCCTGGCAGTAGAACATGGCCTCTTTCCAGGTCCGTGGCTCCTCCACCCGATAGAAGGTCTTGCTGTTGCTCACCAGCTGGAGGGCTGGGGCAGGAGAAGCTATCACTACATGACTACCCCCACCTCACCCTTGTCCCTGAGAGATTTCAGCCATACCATAGTAGAACCTCTCCTTTTCCAGCATACCGCTCACCTCTGATCCCCACTCATACCCTGCTCTGCCTCTGGACCTTTCCACAAGCTACTTGGACCAGAAGGACTGGTCCCTATTCTTTCATTCTTTTACCTTCTTTCCTTTGCCTGGTGGTTAACAGCAATCGTCAGTGTTTGCTGTGCATGTGTGATATGCCATTTTAGCTCACTGAATTTTCCCAAGGACTACTTAGGATTTCATTGTATCTGTTTTACAGATAAGGACTCCAAGTCATAAAGAGTTGAATAGATGACTAAGGCCACTACATGGGAAGTAGAGAGAACCATGACTCCAGAACACAATGTGTGGTTCCTAGGTCCAAGCCCTTAATCACAGCGTAGCACTGTGTCTATGTCAGGAATTCTAACTGGGGTTATAATACATTAGGATCATCCAGAGAGTGGTTCAGGTGTGTTCCAGCATTGAGCTTACTAGGATATGCTTACTGGGACCAACATCAGAATTCTTCAGATACTTCTATGGAAAGCAGAGTGTTAAGCTTGTGTGTCTCCCCCAGATCTAAGCAACTTAGGAGGCAAGGCTTGCCTTATTCGCCATCATTTTCCCAATCGCCATCCAGGTGCACCCAAAACACTCGGTGTGTTGCAGGAAAGCAGGGAGAGAGAGACAGGTGAGGGCAGGAAGCTTCTCCCAGGGACCTACCCAAACTCTAATATCCCAGTGTTTACCCTTTCCTTCCCCCTCCCTGGCTCCAACCACTTTCCGGGTTCTAGCAAAGGAGGTTTATGCAAGGCTCTCCACCCTGGTGCTGGGGCGGAGTAGAGGAGAATGAAAAGCTTGCTTTGAGGAATTGAGGGCCAAGCATGCAAGACGGGGTAGGGAAGGACGGAGCACAGGCACTTGCCAGAAAGAGTGACGTTCTAACACCCACCAGAGTTGATGAAGCTGCCTGTTGCAAAGAACATCTGGAGAATTCCTGTGCCCAAGAAAGAATGGGGGAAAAAACACACTTGTCTTTTCTATTCACTTTGACAGGCTATACGATTCACTTTGATTCTTTTGAATGCTACCTTATTTGTTTTTAGGAGCTAATGGGTCACACCCAACAGTTCAAAAACAAAAACAAAAACAAAAACTTGCCAGCCTCTTGGAACCCACAAGCCCAGGACTCAGGAATCTGTGGTACTCTCCTTCCTTCCTTGAGCTGAGACCCTGGAGTCACAGTTGGGCCATCCCATTCTAGTCCTTGGAATCCAATCTCACAGCAAATCTTGTCAACTACAGCAAGCCTTCTGGAACTCTCTACCTGTAACTATGCCCTCTGCCACTTGGGCAAGATTGTCATCCTCCTCTGCAGGTGCTGTGGATCACCCAGTTTCCGGTGCTCCACATTTTGTACTCAGTGTGGGGGGGGGGGCTTTAAGTGGGGGCCACCCTGCCATGTCACGGTTCCAGTCCCATGCTCAGTGAGGGGGCCTTCTAAGAGAGTCATGTACCATCCCGGGCTCGGCCCTGGCCTCAGCCCAAGATGCAAACCCCGCCTGTGTAATGCTCCTGCAGCTGACCTAGAGCTGATCCGGCTACCAGGGACCCAGTCAGCTTCCGCCTGTGCTGATCTCTCCCTCTCAACCAATCAGGCCTCCCCTCCTCAGAGCAACCCCACCCCATCCCAAAGACACCCTCTTGAGGTGCCTTTTCTCAGGACCAGCCCTCTGGACGTGCTGTTTGGGCCACAGTTCTGGGCAATGGAAGCTGGTGGAAGTGGGGGAGGGCACCTCCCTCCCCAATCTTAAAATGATGGTTGAAAATCATTTATCTCTTTCCATTTTTGTCTCCCAACCAACCTAGAAATCTGAGGGCCTCTGGGGATGCACGGAGCAGTGCACCCTCCTCCAGGCCCGGGTGGGGTCTTACCTGTCATGCAGGAGAGCCACAGCCATGTAGGCAGCATGATGGTGGCCCGATAAATCTCCTGCAGCTGACGGCCTTCTGTAAAGACTGAGCCTAGTGTGCTCACGTCTTTCTTGCTCCCTTCTCTTTGCTACCCAAACTGATAGATTTTCCTAAGCAAATATTGAGTGCCTGCTGTTTGCCAGGATATAGCCTGAATAAAGACGGAAACGTTCTCGTCCGACACTCTGGCGGAAGCACCACGGATCCTGCAACGCATGAGCAGAATGGCAAGAAGGAGCCCATCCCGGGGGGCTGGCTGCCAGGAGAGGGAAGGAGGAGGGCAATGGAGAGCCAGGTGAGTGGACCCTTAGGGTCCTGGGATCCAGGGGAGCTAGTGACATGGCAGAGGAGGGAAAGAGGAGAAAGGGAGGAAGCTAGACTCCCCGTTCCACCGCTCACCTCACAACCATCACCAGAGACTCCGTCACCTTCTCCTTGTCCCCTTTGTATAAGAAAGACCACTGTGCCTCTGAAACAGCTTGATCAAAACAGCATGATAGGGGCCGGGTGGTGGTGGCGCACGCCTTTAATCCCAGCACTCGGGAGGCAGAGTCAGGCGAATCTCTGTGAATTCGAGGCCAGTCTGGTCTCCAAAGCGAGTTCCAGGAAAGGCACAAAGCTACACAGAGAAACCCTGTCTCGAAAAACCAAAAAAAAAAAAAAAAACCAGCATGATAGGGAGTAACAGCACCGCGATTCAAGCTTCGATCACTGAAAAGCATGAAATGGGATGATGTTGCCCACAGGTCCCACATAGGTGACATCAGAGCCTCATGCCACCCCAGGTCTAGGATCTGGATCCCAATACAGCACAGCCTGGAGACAGAGGCACTTGCTCTGGAGAACCAAAGCCTCTTGCTTGTGTTCTGTCTGTCCACACCACCCCCCCATCCCCAGATTTCTCTCTGTCCCACCAAGGGCCAGGTTTAAAAAAAAGAAAGCCTCGAAGACCCCTTTCCGCCCCCCCCCCCACTTTTGTAAAAGAAGCACAAACAGATGGCTGAATGGACAAGACGGAAGTGCCATGCAGATTGTCAGAGCTTCAGCAATGACGTCTGTGGGAGCCCGTTCTCGGGTTCCTCGTGGCTTTACCCAGCAGGTCCGCATAGAGGATGATTAGGACCACGGGCCTGAGTGCAGGTGTCTGAGATGGTCTGCACTTGGTTGTGCTGGGGGAGGAGGTCTTTTGCTCCACCCTTTGGCGTCTCTATAAATATCCTGGGGTAGAGATAGTCGGGCTCGTTGGAATAGGTTCCAGGCCCTCTCGAGGTTATCCTTTATTTTCTATCTGTTTATCTCTGCGATATTCTCCGCAATAAATCCTTCTATCTAATATTTCCTGCTGCTCGCACTCAAGAAAACTCTGGGGAACTGTGGGGGTGATGGGTAAACGCCCCACAGACGTCTCGCCTCAGTGTGCTCCATCAGTGATGGCCTCCAGTGATGTCATCCCAGTGATGGCCTCCAGTGATGTCATCCCACTGATGGCCTCCAGTGATGTCATCCCAGTGATGGCCTCCAGTGATGTCATCCCAGTGATGGCCTCCAGTGATGTCATCCCAGTCGTAGAACCAGCAAGTGTCAGGGTGCCTTTGAACCACTCTCTCATGAGAGGACACCTTGACCATCTTGGTCTGGAGAACACTGGCCCTATCACTCACCTCTTAGTCCTGCCATTCACAAAGGCTTCTGGTCTACATGTCTTCAATGAAGAACACTGCTGGGTACCAGGCTTCTCACGCCCAGAAAGAAGTGAAGTGGGGGTGTGAGGGCCCCCACAGCATGTCCCAGGGGCAGCAAGTGGCACTCCAGGTGGCAATTTCACATGCTTTCTCTTTCCTTTAGACCCACGCTCCTTGAGAACAGGGACTGAGTCCAATTTACAGATCACTCACCCGATCACTCAGTCCTGGATTCGAGACTGCATCTGCAAACAATTCTTGCAGGGCCAACCAGGAAAGCACGTCACCCCAGAATCCAGGCTGTCGCTCCCTCCCTAGGGGTCGGTGAAAGTCACTCCTTAACAGTGACAGCCCAGTGCGTCTGTCTGGGTCTGAGCCACCCCTCTCTTCCAAAGGTAAACCATGCCCCACCGCCTGGCCTCCCATCAGCATTAGCCAAACTGCGATAAGGTTGAGGAACAGACCTGAGGGAGGGGGGCCTGGGGTCACAGCTGGGAGAGGCTGAGACTCGATGCTGGGGTTCACACTCTCGAGAGGATGTATGAGGAAGAGCTCAGGAGGAGGGTGAGAGGGTGCAGCTGTGCCTGAGGCCTCGTCAAGGGATCTGGAAAACAGAATTGTCCTCTTAAAGATGAGTGTTGCGTGTGGCCTTTTCTAGAGAGATGTGACAAGCTGTTTACCCCAGATGGGACACCAAACTAAGGAATTATTCCATCCAAGCTTGGGGAAACAGTGAGTCTATTGGGGTTACCTACTTCATCCTGGGTGACTGACTCAAAGGCAACTACATCACTGAAAATCTCCCCCCGGCAGAGGGGCTTGTCTTGATTGCTAGTTGATGTGGGAGAGTACAGTCCACTGTGGGTAGCACCATCCCTTAGGCAGGCGGTGCTGACCTGTCTAAGAAAGCTAACAACATAAACCTGCCTGGCAGCCAGCAAACAATGTCCTCCATGGTTCCTGCCACAGTTTTTTTGGCTGCAAAGTGAGTTTCCTCCCTTCGGTGGAGGTAATGCTGTGCAGAATAGCCATCAGGACTACTTTTTGGTTTCTGCCTTCAGTTTCCTCAGTGACGACCTGTGACCTGGAACTATAAGCCAAACAACCCCTTTCCTCCTCCCCTGTGCTGCCTTTTGTCTTAATTACTATTCTACTGCTATGACAAAGCACCATAGCCAACGAAACTTATAAAAGGAAAGCATTTAATCTGGAGACTCATGGTTCCAGAGTCCCTGAGCATCATGGCAGGGAGCATGGGAGCAGATAGGCCAGCATAGTACTAGAGTGTAGCTGACAGCTTACGTGTTTAGACAACAAACAAAAGAGAGATAGAGGAAGGGAGGGAGAGGGAGAGTGCTGTGGGATGTTCTGTATGACAAATGTGTTGCTGATTAGTCAATAAAACACTGATTGGCCATTGGCTAGGCAGGAAGTGTAGGCAGGACAAGGAGGAGAATAAAGCTGGGAAGTGGAAGGCTGAGTCAGAGAGACACTGCCAGCCGCCATGATGGCAAACAGCATGTGAAGATGCCGGTAAGCCACGAGCCATGTGGCAAGGTATAGATTAATGGAAATGGATTAATTTAAGCTGTAAGAACAGTTAACAAGAAGCCTGCCACGGCCATACAGTTTGTACGCAATATAAGTCTCTCTGTTTACTTGGTTGGGTCTGAGTGGCTGTGGGACTGGCAGGTAAGAGAGATTTGTCCTGACTGTGGGCCAGGCAGGAAAACTCTAGCTACAGGAGAGAGAGAGAGAGAGAGAGAGAGAGAGAGAGAGAGAACTCACTGGACCTGGTGTGGACTTTCAAAACCATCAAGCCCACCCCCAGTAACATACTTCCTCCAAAAAGACCACACCTTCTAATGTTTCCCAAACAGTTCCACCAACTGGGGACCAAGTCTTCAAACATATGAGACTATGGGGGCCATTCTCATTCAAATCACCATACTTTGGATTGGAGTAATTTTTTTTTAATCACAGAAACCAATATGAAACTGAAACAGTCACTAATAGAAGTCTACACCATTTCCATAGGAAGTGTCCTTGTGGGTCCTGTACTTACAAGACTTACCAGAGATCTACAGTTAGCAGGTGCACACAAGCACCCACCCTCAGCTGGGTTGTCTGTTGGAGGGCAACCGCAGAGGCTGGACCTCCAGCAATGATCAGAGCTACTGGGGAGGGGTGCTGACTCAGATGCAGCTGATGCAGTGAGCGGCACCTGCCCTCCACTCACTAAGGTATCAAGGAAGTTTCTTCACCGTGGGACTGGGGGCCTACCAGATGCCAAATTCATTTCCAGCTCATCAAGGTGGATTTGGATGTATGATCTGGGGCTCCCGTAAGTCTGAACTACATCAGAGCAGCAACATATTTTGGCACTGAGTACAAATGAAATTTGGAATCTATTGAATTCAAGCTCCAGAAAACCAGACAGCCTCTGTGTGAGCAATCTACCAACGCTTCCTGCCAAAAGAAGAAAAGCCCCTCAGCCTGCACAGAGCTCAGCCAGATAACGAGGAACAAGCTTGGTCAGAAGCACCTAATTATTTGCACTTAGACTCCTCCATTCACAGCGTGGTGACCTGGAGAGCCTCCTGGCTGACAGTACTCATGCTGGAACCTGATCTCTCTCCCTTTCCTCACTCCTCCCTTGACCCTCTCTACAGAGGCATTCAGAATTTGCCATTAGCTCCTCTGTCTGGAAGCACATGCAAATGTTAGCTCAGCTCTTATAGAGACTCTGGTCTCTATAAGGCTGTAGCACGAATTGTTAGAAGGTCTTACTAAAAAAAGCAAACCCAGAGCTAGGTATTGGGGTGGACGCTGGAAGATCAGAGAAATAGAACCAGCCATAGCCACCTCACCTCGCCAATTCCTCAGCTGATCCTGTTTCCTCAGACTGAAAGCCTCTGAGTCCTCACCCGAATGAATCTCACCTGAACTGCTGCTAAAAGCTAAAAGCTTAAAGAGACTCACGCCTTATATACCTTTCTGCCTCCTGCCATCACTTCCTGGGATTAAAGGCGTGTGTCACCATGCCTGGCTGTTTCCAGCGTAGCTTTGAACTCACAGAGATCTCTGCCTCCAGAATGCTAGGATTAAAGACCATTTTCTGGTCTCTATGTCTGTCTAGTGGCTGTTCTGTTCTCTGACCCCAGATAAGTTTATTAGGGTGCACAATATATTGGGGAACACAATATTTTTGTCTAAAATTTAAAAAGCTTATAACTAATACATGAAAAACTATATTCAATAAGTATATACAATATATACAGTCAAGAATTACATTAATAATGTCAAGTCCATTAACATTTGACAGATTCAGACAAAAAAAATTTCTTTACTTACTCTATTTAAAACAAGTAGTTCCTTTTTAAAAGTAGATTCAATAATCTCCCTTTTTATCTTATCATAAGCTCCTTACCCTTCATCACCACTACGGCTTTAAGAAAGATGTTCTCCAGCCCAGCCCAGGTCCCAGAACCCCTTCCACGGGAATAAGATTTACATCTCCTGGACTGCTCTTCACATCCACTCAGCCTTGAGGTGCTAAGGACTTCACTGGTAGAATTACCTAGAGAACAGGTTGATCCAGGTGTGAAAGTCCGTGTCCAAACTGACCAGACAGGAAGCCAGTGTGCAGCTGGTATTTCTAGAATGGACTCTCTAGCACAGACCCAATGTGTGATCTCTTCCCCTTGTACTCCACCAACCGTAAGAAATGGTAACACCTCCCACCCCTAGCTCAGACTCTTTGTCCTCCCTCTCTGCCTGCCAAATCAGAGACTAATGTGATGGCTAGCATCTGCACGCCTTTCTCTCATTAGACTTTGCCCCTTACCTCCCAGGCTCTTTCCAGGAAGACTAAGGGTTGTACTTGAACATACTGTCACCCACAGCAAAGACCACACAATTGCCACCACAGCCTGCTTACCACTTCACACAATATGTGCTACTTTCGTGTATTCAATATGTGCTACTTTCGTGTATTCAATTAAATTATACCCCTTCACCTCAGCCACTTTAGGGGCATCCCTGTACTCACATGGCAGGCCACATAGCAGAGATGGTTTGAATGAGAAATGGTCCCAATAGTCTTGGGAATTTGAATACTCGCCTCCCAGTTGTTGATGCTGTTTGGGGAGATTTGGGTGTGTGGCCTTGTTGGAGGAAGTATGCGGGCTTTGAGGTTAAAAAGCCTAGAAGTGAAGTTATAGATTGATGTGAGCCACCATGTGGCTACTGGGAATCGAACCCAGGTCTTCTGTAAGAGCAACCATTGCTTTAAACTGCTAAGCTATCTCTCCAGCCCCAGAATCTTTAGTCCTCTAAGCCTCGCTCCTCCCTCTAGGATTAGAGGTTTTTATTAATAGGAGGTCCCACTCTATGTCCCAGACTGGCATTGAACTCAACGATCTTTGCCTCCAACTGCCAAGTGATGGAGTTACAAGCACCAGCTGCCATGCTTGATCTCTGTCTGAGGAGAAGCTTGGCTACATTTGCCAACCTCCTTGGTAGTCAGTTGTGGCCTTTCAGTTAAGTTCCCGAGACAGAACAGATGTGAATAAGGATAACTAGGGCTGCTACCAGGACAAAACCTGGAACCCACCCATCTAGGATCTTCAATGAGCTACTACACGAGACACAGTCCCTTAAAGCCCAGGCCAAAGATTCTGTGGTACCACTCACCTCTGTTATTTCAGTGACAAATGGGAATTTGAAAGTGTCATGGATTGAGAGGAGGCAGTGACAGGGACAGCCACTGTGAGCCTTCCAGGAAGGGGCCAGAAAGAGGTAGGACAGAAATAAATGCCATGTTCTACTTGGATCCTATCCCAAGACAGAACATTTAGTCAGGGGGCCCCAGGAATCACCGGCAGGGAGAACGCCGGTTGCTGGTGGCTCTTGTGTTATCCTTCATCATAGGCTGTTCTGTTGTGGATGCTTGTGAGAAAATGCTGCTTCCCTTGGGGCCTGGAAGACCGGGCAAATATCCTTGGCCTGGTGAACACACCAGTGTGAAAAGGCAGAGATGCTCCAGGATACCTTGGCTGTGATTTTTCACTCCTTCTCAGCTGTACAGAAATAGCTGGGGATTTACAATGATCTTGCACGCCACGCTTGTTCCTGAAACAGAGGAACCAGTTCAGATAACATCAGCAGACATAGTACTTTTTTCTTCTGCAGAAACAAGTACTGTAAGCAGACTATAGTTATAGCTGGTCTGATATACTATTTAAAGGAAAGCTCAAAAGTTGCATAGTAACCAAAGTGTCAGTGATTAAAAGATGTCTTCACACTGCACAGGATAAAGCAGGACAACACAGGAATCATCACATGTAATCTCCAACGAATGTACACCAGGTTCCCTAAGATGGGAACCACAGTCTCTCTGGCCGAGGAGAGCCTCCGGGTACTTCAGGGAATCAAGATGTGGACTGCCAGGATGCTGAACCTGGTCACTTCAGGGCTGAATGGAGACCACAGCTAGGATCCTGAGAACTTTCATGAAATGCTCCATCCTTACTGACAGGCTTTAGTATGTTAAACTGTGGTTAAACAGACCCCTGAGCACAGAGGACCTTACCTCTCATTCTCTGGGGCTCTGTGTAGGTAAAGGCTGAAGACAGAGGTTCACTGTGAGCCAGACACTAGAATTCACACTCCTGGAGTCAGAAGAGACCGAATTCAGAGTCTTACAGCCATTTTTAAGTGTCTCCATTCAGCCTCTGCCCACATTATCTCCACAGAACAAAAGCAGCCTGGGACCTTTGTAAGGAGCATCAAGATGACATCAACTTGGAGAAAAGATGCTACTGGAATGTCTTTCTCTCTGTTCTGAACCCCCAGTCCTGATGGAGCAAGGGTGGGGGCAGGGGCATATGATCCTGTCCTGGTACAGTGGGGCCGTGCTCTGAAGGGGTGCTGGGAAAAACTTTCTGGTATTCCTCGGGTCAGGACAGCCTACAGGAGACCCAAGTTACAGCAGTGATATCCAGCAGTGAAACGCTGCCTCGACTTCATCCTCACGCCGCTGTAAAATCTTAATACATCCAGGAGTGGTGGCTCATGCCCCAAATCCCAGAGTTGGAGAGGCTGAGACAGGAGAGCTGCCACGAGTTCAAGGCCAACCTGAGCTACATAGCAGAGATGGTTTGAATGAGAAATGGTCCCAGTAGTCTTGGGGATTTGAATATTCGGCTCCCAGTTGTTGATGCTGTTTGGGGAGATTTGGGTGTGTGGCCTTGTTGGAGGAAGTATGCGGGCTTGAGATTAAAAAGCCTCTGCCACTTCCGTTTCACCCATTCCTCTGCTTCATGCTTGCATTTGAAGAGGTGAGCTCTCAGCTTCCTGCTCCAGCTGCCATGCCCCCGCCCCCCCCACCACCACCACCGGGGTGGACTCTCACTCTCTGGAACCGTAAGCCCACATAAACTCTTCTGTGAGTTGCTCTTGATAGTAGTGATAAAGATCACAGCAACAAAAAAGGTAAAATAGTGAATTCCAGGTCAGTTGGGGCTACAAAATGAGACTCTGTCTAAAATAATAGTAACAAGGAGGAGGAACAGGAGAAAGTGGAGGAGGGAGAGGAAATTAGTTTATTTAGGTTCACAAACTGGTTCCCCAGCTCTTCAAGGGTACACCGTGAGAAAGTAAAAAAGACAGCATTGTGTGTGTGTGTGTGTGTGTGTGTGTGTGTGTGTGTGTGTGTGTGTGCCCGTGCGCGCACGCACGGGCACAAACGAGAGGAGAGAGGGATACAGACAGAGAGAGAGAGAGAGAAAGAGAGAGAGAGAGAGAGAGAGAATGTTTTCTACTATTAATCAGGTTCCCACTGAGCACGATTATTTTCTGTCTACTCGCCCACATGTACTTGGCTAGGAGGTAGCTCACGTCACATCTGCCCTGTTGAGCAAAGGGATATGGTTACTTGCAGCTCTCTGAGGCTCTCAAGCCAATGGAGAAGAAGATATGTCCACTGTTACAGGCTTTGAAACTGGTCAGCTGGAGCCCGGGTTCCTTCATTGACATATGGGGAAATGAGGCCTGGATAGCTCAACCCCACACTCCCTCCCCTTGCCTGGACCAGCGTGAAGCATAGTGTCCTCCTTTGGTTGGAGGGGAGTGAGACCCAAGGCTTTCAGTGGGGAAAGGGCTTGGCTGGAAATCACCACCAAGGAGGTCTATCTAAAATGGCTGCCGGTGGCTCTTGAGGAAGCTGACCTGGGAAGGACCCAGCAGCTGCAGAGAAGCAGGCGAGTGAGATGCACAGTATCTGGTGTGGTGCATAATTCACACATACCCTGGTTACTGCCTGTAGTACTGGGCTACCTGTCCTCAGAATGCTCAAGCTGGCCTTTTCTGTGCCAACTAGTAGCCCTTGAGACAAGAGAAAAGGAGGAAATGGAATCGCCAGTGACAAGGAGAGAAATCAGGTTCCCCAGCTCAGATTCTGAGTCACATTAGGCCCCAGAAGATGCCATGTCCCTCCAGTCTCCATGTGAAACCAACGCAGATCACAGTTACCATCAGAATTGCCTTCTGCATTACACACACACACACACACACACACACACACACACACACACACACACAGAGTCTTCTTGTCATAAGCACTATTTAATATTCCTTCTTGCTCCAGCCCTCATCTGGTGAGAAGTAAGAGCCAAGAGAAGAGATGGGGTAGAGGTAGATATGGGGGGTCATATTACTGAAGAAATGGGTACCAAGGAGAAGCCAGTCATCTTGGATAGCTTCTCCTGGTTAGTGGGTGAGGCCTCCTGCACCAGGAGCCAAGGCTCGGCTTCTCCCAAGATGTATCTGTGCTTCCAAATGACTGGCTGCGGCCCTCAGCAGCCCCAGGCTTAAGGCCTTACGGCTTTGGAACCTGGTAAGAGCCTTTGGTCTCAGGGGCAACAGCAGGCAGACCCAAAGCTGGTGACACTCCAGGCCGGCTTATGAGTCCTGGCATTGTGACCTCAGCTGTTCCGTACACAAAGAGGTGGTCACCCTACCACAGCCTAAGCCTGTAAGTTGCATACAACAGTGGCTCCGTCCCAGGGGCCTGTTGTGGGGAGGTTGGGAAGTTGAAGAACACCCTGGCTCTTCCATCATGTCGGCCAAGAGGGCAGAACAGAAGAAAACCAACCCGGTAAAGGAAGAATATTGCCAGGCACTTGGGGCCTCTGTGAGCTCGCTCGCACCAAGTAGAGGCAGGACGGAGAAGATATCCCGTGAACCTCCCAGTTTTCTTCCTTTGTTCAGAGCACAAAGCAGCTGTCCACCTGGAACGGGTGGAAATTTGTGCCTGGCCTTGGGGTGGGAAGGGAAGGGGCGTGGGGGGCCTCTGTGTAAGACCCGCTGCTCTTCATGACAGCTCACAGTCCAGGGCCCAGCCAAGGCCTAGCTCTAACTGGCCGATCTAAGGCTCAAAATAAGCCCACTTCATAGATGAGGAAATGGAGGCCCTGGCACTAAGTGACATGTCCACGTTGGTATGAGAGGAAGGTGATATTAGACCGAGGGCCATTCTTGAAACAACCTTCTGGGGCTTCCTAAAAGTCGTTCAGAAAGGCTTTCTCTGTCTTCTGGGTGGACACAAATATGCTCATTAGAAACAGATGACTTGGCCAGGTACGGTGGCCAGAAACAGACACCTTGCTGGGACCACATGAGTCTGTCTGTACTCCACTGAAGTTAACAGAGTGGTGGCTGGGGGCCTCTTGCAAGGACTAACTATTATCTTCCCCCAACCCTGATACACGGCCAGCTACACCATGACCTTCTCTCTCTGCAGAAAAAGAACTACAGGGCAGTTTGCTTGGAACTGAAGCCAGAGCTGACACAGGTAAGCTGCTCTGAAGCTAGGCCAGCAGCCAGCCCTGAGGTCCATGGGGAGGTAATTAGAGCCAGAGCCATTTCCTCTCCTTGGTGGCCAGAACCTATCCTAGGTGCTGAGGGACAGAAGAAAGGTAAGTTCCTCGTTTTCATAGCCCTTCACACCAGTGACCAATCAGACACATCAATAACATAGAACGTCAGCTCTGTCACCTGATACATGGAGAGTGACAATTAGGAGACAGGAGTAGGTGGCTGTTTTATGGTTGGGAAAGGCCTCCCCTGGAGCAAGGACTAGATGCTGGTAGAGCAGAGTCTGAGGAAGAATCTTCTAGATGGCGGGAAGAAGCAGCCTGAGGTGGGAACAAGCCTGGCTACGATTTCTGGTGCCTCTGTGTTTCTGTCTCAATCCACAGATATATGATTACAAAGGATTTAAACACGAAGAGCCAGTCACCAAAAAAGGGATGACACAGGAGCTGAAGGTCAGTATTGGGGCCCCGTGGCCTGGGGACAGATCCCTTGTGAAAGGACGCCGGTCAACCAGCTGACTTCTGAGTGGTGGTTCCTGCTGGTACCTGCAGCAGGAGGCGCGTCACTAAGTCCTGGTCTAACGTTTTTAACCTGTTAGTTACTTCAAAACAATTTGACTGACCTAGAAGTTTGGAAGGATGGTATAATGAATTCTAGTACACATTTCACCCAGACTCCCTGAATGCTGCCAGTTTATCACTGTGGCTTTAGTCTCTGTTTCTGTCTCCTCTACACACACACACACACACACACACACACACACACACACACACACACACACACACACATAGCCCTTCATATCAATAGGCTCCATACCTTTAATTCAACCAATCTAGGTCTTAAAATATTTGATAAAGCATTGCAGATACTTTCCCATCACTTCTGAGACAAGACAGTAGAACAATCATGTGCACAGCATTAACATGGCATGTGCATTGTAAGTGGTCCGCGGGTGGTTTAAAGCACCCGGGAGGGTGAGCACAGGACGTAGGGGATGTCAGTGTTGGCAAATTTGGGTATCTGCAGGTTTCCTGAAACCAATTCCTCTCAGATACTGAGGAACTGCTGTGGGTACTTCCTAGTCTCCCCTTTTCTGCATCATGGGTGGGCATCCTGACTCTATCTCCCTTGCCCTTGACCTTCATCACAGAGGGCCCTGAAACCAAACTTCCAAGGATACCCAGAACGACTGATTGCATACATTCTTTGAACCATTTGAGAGTTAAGTTTACCCAAATCTTTAATACATACTTCCCCCAAACAAGCATGTTCTCTTATGTTTTTGTGTGTGTGTGTGTGTGTGTGTGTGTGTGTGTGTGTGTGTGTGTGTGTGCGCGCGCGCACGCGTGTGTGTGCAGAGGCCAGGAGAGGGCATCAAATCCCTTTGGTTTAGAAACAGTTATGGGTCTCCAGATGTTGATGTTGGGAGTGGAACTCAGGACCTCTGGAAGAGCAGCAAGCATACCTAACAGTCAAGACATCTCCCAGCCCCATCATGTCTCTTTAGTGTGGATGATGTTCTCAACATTGATCTCACTGGCTACCGACAGTTTTGAAGATTTATTTTCCTGATGGCGCCTTACTTTCTACTTACCTGCCTTCTTTAGATTCAGGCTGGGGATTTAGGCAAGCCTTCCGAAGCCATGCTCTTTTCAGTGTGTCTCTTCCACAGGCCTCCCAGCCCCACTGACTCAACACTTACCCTTTTCCTTCCCTCTATTTGGTAGAGCCCCAAGGCCCTGTCCTTGGTGACTCTTAAGAGATGTCTCCATTGTGTTTCTCTCACGTTTATTTCCTCAGAATGAACTCAGGGAGGTGAGAGAAGAACTCAAGGAAAAAATGGAAGAGATAAAACAGGTAACAGGATAAGGCTTCAGCAAGAGAAGGAAAGCAGAGCTTTTAAGGAAAATGCAATTGCTAACTCTGACCAGCAAAGGAAATCAGGAATTGTGTAAGAAAAGCAACCTAACTCACACCTGGTCTCCTACAGTTTCAGCCTTGGGCAGCATAGAACATTGATTTCTTACTTCTTGCCTAAGCCCGTTTTTTCAATCAATTAAGAATTCCCTAATGAAGCTGGGCGGTGGTGGCGCAGACCTTTAATCCCAGCACTCAGGAGGCAGAGCCAGGAGAATCTCTGTGAGTTCGAAGCCAGCTTTGTCTACAGAGCAAGATCCAGGACAGGCACCAAAACTACATGGAGAAACTCTGTCTTAAAAGAAAGAAAAGAAAAGAATTCCCTAATGTGTTAAGGTTGGAGGTGATGTTAACCTCGGCTATAAGAGTGAAGAGGGGCTGACTAGGAATTTGATGACAGTCACAGATGAACTGGATCCTCCTTATGCATCTCCCCGGAGGAAGCCGTCCAGAAAGAGCTCTCTTGTTTCTAGGATACAATCACCTATAGCTCACTTAGGGAACGGGGGCCTAAGGAAGAAGGAATAATTCAAGTGTGGTCTGAGCTCCACATGTCAAAGCTGTTGAGAGAGACAACTGGTGGTGGCACCTGTACCTTAGACCCTTCTTAGGGTTCTTGGGAAGAAAGTGGCTTGTGTAGAGTGTTATTCATTTATTCCCAAGATCCAGCTGTCACCCTTTACTCAGAATGCCCAGAAGATCCTGTGGCTGGCTTCACTAATACACTTTATGTCTTGTTAAATCGCTCTTTTCTTCCTCATTAGATAAAGGATATAATGGACAAAGATTTCGATAAGCTTCATGAGTTTGTGGAAATTATGAAGGTAAGCTTTCGCTGTATGCCTTCCGTGGGTCACATGGGAAGTGATGGCAGAGATGCCAGGGCCCTGCCCTTGAGGTACCTTTAACCTACTAGACAGAATTGCAGGCTAAGGTGCAGGCTGCCTGTTAATTAGGGGTTTAGAAGAAATGGGGGATCTAAGAGAGAAGTCCTTAGAGAAAATCTGAGCCAGAGGCTTGATGATTATGTTGGGAGCTTGATGTGAATGTACCTGAAGGCCCAGCGTGATTCCCTTTTGGCTCAGAAAACAAGAAGGATAATTCAGAGCACAGAGCAACGGTTTGCAAACATTAGTCTGTTTCAGAATGACTTGTGACCAGAGCCCCAGGTTCACGGTCAGATGGGGCCTGAGTCCCCCCAAGTAGAAGCTTGAGAATCACTCATGTAAATGCATAAGCAGGCAAAAGGCAATGGCTAGAGTATTTTCAAGAGTTCTAAGGGACACTAGGGGATTACCAAGTAATTAAAATGCCTGACAAACCCACAGTCATCCAGTCAGGGTGGTTAATAGTAAGCAGAGAAACGAATGTGAGTGTATAACCCTGGGAATGAATGCTTCTTTGCCAGGGATGGATGTCCTGAGAATCCCCCAGGAGCATATTAAACATCCACACACCCAGACCAAAACCTGAGTAAAAAGTTCTTCAGGGTGGAGTTTCTTAAGTGCCACAAATGATTTTAAAGTGTATATATGTGTTTCTACATGCATATGTATGTATTGAGACAGTCTCTGTAACGCACATTGGCCCCCAACTTCTGATTACTCCTGCCTGCCCCCCAAGTGCTAGGACCGCAGGCGTACACCTCCCACACTTGGCTCCTTCACAAGTGATCTGGATGTGTGCCCTGAGATGCAAGCCAGGTCCTAAACCCTTGAGCACATCCGTCAACCCTGGCTGCATGTTGGAATGAGATCAAAGAGGTCTGTCATACTGTCCCTTTAAACCTAGGCTCTCCTCAGAACAACTACACTAGAATCTTTGAGGGTGCGGGCCCAGCACCAGTGACTTTTAAATTTCCCCATGGGATTCTAATGGACACTTAAGGCTGACTTTTAAACAGGATAAAGATGATTTTTATTTAATTTTTATTTTATTTTATTTATTTATTTGTTTATTTATTTATTTATTTTGGTGGTACTAAGGATTGGGTCCTGGGGTCTCACATTGCTAGGCAACCATTCAGCCACTGAACTGGATCCAGCCCTGTGATAAAAATGACTTTTAAAAGTCAGTGAGAAGAAAAGGGTTATGTAATGATACAAGAACATTGCTCGACTCTGAGGAAAACCCAATTCATTAGATCTGTAAGCTGAACTGGTCTATAACATGAATCTGAAAAATAAAAACCAGTAAGAGAAAGTTATAAATATTAATATAATGGACAAAATGGCAAAGTATTGAGGAATTTGCCAATAGAAACATTTTAAGAAAGAATTTTGATGGAAAATGCCACATGCAGCATTTAAAAACAACTTAAGTAAATAGTTTTCCATAAATGTGTTAAGGGACAAAGGGTTTATAATCCACAAAATGTAGATCTCACAAGAAACAACAGGAAATAAATGAGGAAATGGGCAGGGGCATGATGGGACAAGCCAGAGAGACCAGGCGAAGACCCGAGAGCAGAAGCAGCTTTACTCCCACGTGTAACTAAGCAACTAAATAACACAGAGCGGGGGCCAGAGAGACAGCTGAGCAGGTCCGAGTGCACCCTGCTCCTGCAGTGGACCGCAGTCTGCCTCCCAGCACCCACACCCAGCAGCTCACAACTCCAGCTCCAGGGGATCTGATGCCTCCGTCCTCAGGAGGCACCTGCACATACCCGGGCACACACACATACACAGCATCTTAAAAAAAAAAAAACAAACTTTTTTTTTTTTTTTTTTGGTTTTTTGAGACAGGGTTTCTCTGTGTAGCTTTGTGCCTTTCCTGGAACTCACTTGGTAGCCCAGGCTGGCCTCAAACTCACAGAGATCCGCCTGGCTCTGCCTCCGAGTGCTGGGATTAAAGGCGTGCGCCACCACTGCCCGGCTAAAAAAAAAAAAAAAAAAAAAAAAAAAAAAAAAAAAAAAAAAAAAAAAATTTAATGTTACTGTCACACTCTAATAAGCAAAGTTTGGATTTATGACAATAAACTACTGATAAGAGTACTAATTCATACAAAACTGGAATATTAGAAAATAGGCATTCTCAAGATTTACCCTGTGAGACTATTAAAAGTGGTCAGCATGAGTATGTATAAACTATTTTCATTTCAGAATTATTTATAATAGTAAATATTTGGGAACAACCACAATTTCCAACAATATAGAAGTAACTAAATTACGGTTTATCCAAACATTAATACTAGGGTTTATTAAAGGTGATGCTTATAAAGAATGCTTAATGTAAATATATAGGAAAAAGATTGGAAAAGAAATATACCAAAAAGGCAAATAGCAGTCTTGTGAGGGAGGTGAGAAGATTCATTTTTTAAATACTCTCCTCTTTTATCCTGTTTTTTTGCAGAGGGCATGTGCTATTTCTATATTAACATGCAAACACCATACGCATTTTATTAGTGGCCACTCTGGATATGGAAAGGCACAAAGAAAGCTATTTCAGGCAGGGAACAGCTTGGGCACAGCAGGAGGATGGCTGTGTTTCCCAGTCAGGGGGGAGAGCAGCCATAGTGTGGGGTCATCTGGGGGAAACTGAGAAATAAAACTGCGTGGGCACACAGTGGGCACTGATGGGATTTTAGAAACAGCTGACAAGCTGAGACTCGACTCTATAGGCCGCAAGAAGTCTCCGGAGACTCTTCCAGAACACGCAGGGAGCAGCTGCTGGCAAGGTGGCCTGGGAGGTGCAGAGCAGGTCGGGAAGGTCTGGAGCTGCCGCCAGCTGTGATAGAGGCAGGCTAGAGGAGGGTGCAGGAAAGAGAGGAGAAGCTGAAGGGGACTCTTGGTGACAGATTCGGGATGATGGAGTCTTAAGTGAGTGCCCATGGTGACACCAGAGTGTCCATCTGGATGGACAAGGCAGTGGAGAAATTGACAAGTATACTGGGATGTGGAGCTGATTTACAAGTGGAAGGAGAGGATGAGCGAGGCTTGTAAGAGTAAAGGACACTGGCGCTATGTGCTCAGCCCGAGCGGGGTGTTCAACCTTAAGGGATTTTAACACTATTCCCAGGTATGCTAACATTTACAAACACTCACACAGCTGTCTTGGGAAGTCACCTCCTCCCCACCAATGCTCTGATTGCTCCGTCAGCTTTCTACGTCAGATTAAGCTGGTTCGGAATCTTTTCATATTAGAAGCACTTTCACCGGAGTACATTGTTTTTGTATTTTATGACAAGCAATCCACACTCAGTTCTGTCCACAATGAGTCCTGTCAATTACAGCTTCTGCACCCTTAGGGTTTCTTTACGTCTACCCAGCTTTGCCGGTGTCCAATTCTATAGATTATTTTTACTCTTTTAGTTCTCAGTGAATAATAAATGGGCCGTGTTGTTTTAGCTACTGTCTTCTATTTCACTTTTATGATTTGTTTTCATTATTTTAAATTAATGTGTGTGCGTGGGGGGGGGTGAATGCACAAAGTGTCCAGAAGCATTGGATCCCCTGGAGCTGGAGTTACCAGCCGTTTTATGAGCTGCCTGATATGGGTGCTGGGAACCAAACTCAGGTCCACTGCAAGAACAGTGTGTTCTCTTAACCACTGAGCCATGGATCCAGCCCCCATTTTGTTTGTTTTTGTTGTTGTTGCTCACTTGTGTTTTTTTTTTTTTCTTTCTACTAGAACTGTGTTATTAAACACACACACACACACACACACACACACACACACACACACACACGCGCGCGGGTTCAAATGCTGGAGTCAAGAGTCATGGAAGTTATAACATGTTTTCTTAGCTGCACTGTTCAGAAGAGCTCCTGGCCTCTGGCTGACCTAGAGGCCATGGTAAGTCTTACACCTCTGCCTGAGCTCTAGTCCCCTCGTGGAACAGGGGCGGAAGGTGGACCATTAGGGACATGCCCCATTCGCCTCTGCCAAGGCTAGTGAGGATTCCTGAAATAGGAGGCAGGAGGAGTTTGCAGAGAGAAAGGGGGGAGGGGAGCTCCAGGCTCTTCAGAAGGGGGATTCCAGTCTTGGGTTCTCTCTTGAAGGAAATGCAGAAGGATATGGATGAAAAGATGGATGTTTTAATAAATACACAGAAGAACAACAAGCCGTAAGTGTCGCCCGCCCCTAAAGACCCCTCCCTTGACTTGGCTCAGCACACTGGGGGCTCGGAGAAGGCACCCCTCAATGGACTGTCCTGGCTCTGCCATTACAGTGGCTGGAAGTCAAGGCCTTCCATGCACCTGTGGACTGGTAGAAACAGTGTCCCCAAATCTCTGCCCCCTCCTGACCCACCAGTCCCCTTCAAAAACAACCAAAGGAGCAGCAGGAGCTTGGGCAGATAGGAAAGACGGACAAAGATTCCCAGCCCAGACTCAAGAAACTGGAAGAACCCGATGGAGCATCATTGACTAATGACAAGACGATGGTGTCACAAAAAACAAAGGATAATCCCCTGGATTCCCTTCATACATGTCAGAGTTGCTGCGTAAGTGAACCCCTGCCACCCTCGGCACTGGTTCGAGAGCCCTGGGCTGCTCCTGCCCTGACCTCCCAGAGCTCCGGCTTTAAAGGGCTGGTGTCATCCTCTTGCCAGTCCTTGGATGAATCCCTTAGTCTAGAGACCTTCCTTTGCTGCCCTGCCTCCTGGGCTGTGGTGAGCCTGAAGCCACAGTTGTGCAGCCACCCTTGGATGTGCCTACTCCCGAGTTCTGCTCAGTCACTCTGTCCTTTTCTATAGCAAAGCCTGATGAGGTGCCCAGCAGGCTGGCCAACTTGGACCAGGAAAAAAAAAAATGATCTTTCTTGTGCCGTTTCTGTCCTCTACAGGAGAAATGTTTGTTGTGTGCCCTAAAGACCAGCTGCAGTCGGGGGTAGGTAGATCCATCCCAGAGGTGCCTTCTCAGTTGGGTGTCTTGTGATCCCAAAGGGAGTGTACTTCAATGGCCTTTTGCAGCAAGCCTCGTCTGTGGCTGTACAGGGAATAGGGACTGTGAGTGAATGAATTCTGCCTCCCGGCATAACCAGCCAGGCATAGAAGATGTGGCACCAGGAAAGAGGATTTGGGTGGCCAAGCCTAAGTTTGCTGTTCACAAGATCCCTTGGCGGGGAGGGTACACCTTCAGCTGCAGCCTCAGCCTGGCCGCAGGCCCCCTACCTTTCTCCCACCTAGCAGGAAGCCTTCACACCATGCCTGGGCGCGCTTTTCACCTTTATCATCTGGAGCTGCTTTCTGATTTATCTGTACTTCAACCCCGATGAGATGGAGTATGTGCTGCCAACCTAGCACAACCATGGAGCCCACCAGCAGCTCTGGTTCATCCTCTCTACGAGCTGCACAGCAGGGTTTTCTGCCCTTTTCAAGACCCCAGCCCCACCCCTGCCCAGGCTTCTACCTGGGGATTAAAGTCTTTCATTTAAAGTCTAAAGACTGTCACTGTTTTGAGTACCAGCCCAACACTTGGGTGCCCAGAGCATTACTTTTTTGTTTTAAATCAGTCTAGTTCAGACCCCGGTTCCTCTTTCTTTCCCGGTTGGCTAGTGGGACATTCTATCTGAGTGATCTCAGTATTGTCTCTCCCCACTCCACTGGGCCCTAAGAAGTCCTAAGTCAGAACTCCAAGATGGCTCGAAGATACCAAGCACCAGTCTGGGTAGACTCAAGACACACACTCAGGGCCCTGCCTACCCACCCCCCACATTCTGCGCCCCTGCAGTGTGCCCTGGATGCCATGGGTAACTCTGGCAACTCTGAGCCTCGAGTCCGACAGAACTGCATGGCTCCCTTCGAAGGTCTTATCGCCAAGTAGCGTGGTGCCCTCCTTGGGCTCTGCTGAGGTTTACCTACTTTCCACCTTTGAGAGTTTCCTCCCTCTCTCCCTGGTTGCCTCCTTCCCTCCCTCCCTCCACTCCAAAGGAGCAATGTCCCTTCAAGGACCTTTTATACACTGGAGATGAGCTGGCCATGGGGGTGTTTGTCTTTGATTTCAGCACCCGGGAGGCAGAGGCAGGCAGAACTCTATGAGTTTAAGGCCAGTCTGGTCTACAAAGCCAGTTCTAGGCCAGCCAGAGCAATGAGACCCTGTCTAAAAGTAAACGAAGAAAACCCACAAACAACAACAAAAGCAAATTAGAGACGAGCCAGTAACCACCAGCCTCTCCTATGCCCGCCTCAGGTCCCTAAGTGAGGGACAATAAAACTGGTTGCTAGCTTGAAATGAGAAACACAGAGAAAACAGTATTCTAGTGACTATTCCACCACGGGTGTGCCTCTTCGGCTTTGGTTTGACAGGCCTCTGTATTCATTGCACACCAGTTCTTCCATGTTTCTTTGTTGGCTGCTCCCACGTTTAGACAGTTTCATTAGTCAAGTTCGTAATGGTAACAGTGCAGGAGCGTTTGGTGCTTCAGATACATATCTTAAGACAAAAGCCAAAGCACAGCTTGGGCCTTGTTATTCCAAGGAGTCTGGAGTTTTAGAGGAGTGATGATTTTTTTTTTTTTTTTTTTTTTTTTTTTTTTGGTTTTTCGAGACAGGGTTTCTCTGTGTAGCTTTGCGCCTTTCCTGGAACTCACTTGGTAGTCCAGGCTGGCCTCGAACTCAAGAGGAGTGATGATAAACACACATCACAATCTATGTATTATAGAGCATCTGTAATTAAGTAGAGTAACCAAACGTGAGGCAAACAGGAGCCGGATGGGGCTAGCCCTGTCCTCATTTTTATCTCCACCGTCAACAGATTACCACAAATGGATTGACTTGGAGCAAGAAGAAATGGATCTTTCTTTGCTAACGACAAGGTGTCAGAGGACTTACATTACTGCTGGAGGCTTTGGGGGAGAACCTGTCTTTGCCTTTCCCAGGCTCGATGGCTGCCTCCATTTCTTAGCCATCTGTCCTGCCTCCCATCCTCAAAGCCAGCTACAGTCGGTGGGGTCTTAAGTTCTATCGTGCTAACACCACTCACCTGCCCTTCCTTCGGCCCTCTCGGAAAGACTCTCGGGATTACATGAAGCCCACCTAACTTGAAATGTTCTCATTATAGTCAGTGATTTATCCACGTAATATAACAGAAGACTAGAACTTGGGTGTCTTCGGAAGGGCATACTCTGCCTACCATTGTGACATCTCAGACCCTAACCCCTGCCAAACGACCAAACCCACAAACACTTCGGAGTGGTGCACTGTTCTTTAAGGTGCTGGTTCCCACAAACTCCATCCCTAACCTTCCACTAAAGGAATCTCATCATTCTCCCCTTGTGGGATAGATGTAGTAACTAATGAATCGAACAAAGTAGAACTAATGCAGCCTACTTCAGCGATACAGTGGCTTCCTTCCGTCTTGCTGCCCGTGGAAGCCAGCTGCCATGCTTTGAGGCCACTGAAGCTGTGCTATGGCAAGGGACTGAAGCCTCCTTCCAAGAGCCACCTAACATACCGTGTGAGAAGTAGGTCTCAGACTGGGAATGTAGCTCAGTTGATTGAGGGATTACATAACGTGCAGAAGATCTGTTCAGGCACAGATCCTCAGTGCCACATAAAAACTGGCCCCGTCTGCCACTTGAGAATCTCTCCAATCTCTTTTAGCAGGGCACTAATTCCACTCACAAGGGCTCTGCCTTTTAGACAGATTGTTATTGCCTATTAGACGGTTATTGGAGAGCTAATCACCTCCAAAGACATCCCCTGCACATTTTAGAGGCAGATAACATCTAAACTATAGCATCTCCCTTTTTCTACACTATGGACAACCTCTAGGCTCTTCCCCACGGCCCTTTACTGTTTTCTAGGGACCTACTTCTCTTCCTTCTTGGGATATTGAGGGTTGAAATAATCTATTTTTCTCAACCCCGAGACCCCAGAACTAACACACTGCTCCGTGAATGAATATGTAGTGTTTGATCAGCATCAGCCTTCAAGGCTCAGAAGATGAAATTCAAATTAACACTGAGAGAAATCAGAATGGGTTCTGGTCAAAGTCTATATGTTTTAATTAATGACAGAAAAGAAAACTGGCCTGGAACACAAGAGAAAGCCCCTGTGACCCTAAAATACAATCCCCTAGTTCTGTTCTTCTAAAAAAGAAAAAAAAAACCTTTCCCCCTCTGAATCAAGTGTCTATAATCATAATTCGATTAATTAGAAAATATTTCCCAGCCCTCTGCTTCTTAGCCTTCATCTGCTAGTTCATTATTCCTAGCATGGCTAAGATGAGAACATAAATTTGTTTAAGAGGAATGTTAACTTTATTAGAAAAGAGAATGAACTTGAACCCTGATCCCAAACCACAGTCTCTGGCAGAGGGCCCGAAGCTTCAGGATTCAAGCTCTGACCTATCTATCCCCAAGGCTCTATTCACCTGTCTCTCTGGGGCCTCCTTGTCCTGTCACATTCCCCACAGCCAGCAAGAAATTCCCCCACCTGTGCACCCAAATCCCTCCTTGGCCCAAAGTCACAACAGAGGTTCTTGTCCTCGCTCAGTTTTCTGACAGCCAGGGCACAGGGGGATCCCTAGCCCCACACTGGACCTTGGTCCCCAGCAGGATTTCCCTCAGCCCATCTGTCTACCTGTCTACCTGGTGAACTGGATGAGACATCCAGGAGGCCTGGAGTGCTGAGTCCCCCTGAGCAGCGAGGCCCGACACTCCTGTCAGAGCTCTTCGGGTTATGCTGAGGGTCTCTGAGAAGGTGAATAAAGTCCGAAGCCCAAAGTGAGCTGGTGAGGGAGCCGTCTTTCCTCTGTGCCATTCCATTTGTCTGTCGCCTCCCTAATGGACTGATTCCTGCACACACACCTTTGCGGAGGACCGAAACCAGACTTTCACAAACGATAGAAAAGCGTCCTTCCATTGGGCTACACGCCAAGCCCTGTGCTCTGTCTCTGGCAGCTCTGAAGCCCTTTCCTAGAAGACAGGAACTACACAGAATTCATTGATTTCCCCTCCACTTCTACTGGCTGGTGGTTGTTGTGGATGAATGTATGCATTTACAAAGCATATTGGTGGTGTCACTTAGTCATTTAGGCTCAGCAGTTTCTCTCTTCCTCATAGCAAACAAGCAACCAAGTTCCACGGGACACCCCCTACCCTTGTTTTGGTTTTGAGACAGGGTCTTGAGTAGCCCAAGCTAGCCAGGAAGTTGCTATGCAACTGAGGCTGGCTTTGAACCCCTGATTCTCCTGCATCCACCTCCTGGATGCCGGGGTTACAGGCATGTACCACCATACCAGGCTCCATGGGAGCTTTTACTGTTTCATATGTCTATTGCCAAAGCGCCCTGCCCCCAGCTCCCATATTTCCATATATATCTTAGTCCAAGGTCTAGGCATCTAGATTCTGAATTACAAGTTTCTGGTCCACTCCTCTCAACTCAATAGATTTTCCCCCAAAGCCTGCAATCCTGTGTGAAGCATAGCATTCCCCAATATATCACCCCTAACTGCCGCGTTCCTTCAAGTCACCCCTTGCTCAAATACTACCAGAGCCCACTTCATATGGAACAGTGACATTCCTCATAACTCCCCCTCAACAGCTTCCATTTCAACACTGTCTCCCACACACGCCCATCTGTAAACCGTGTGCTCTAAGGGTCCTCACTGGGTCCTTCCCATATTCTTGCTTTGCTCACATCATCCTCTCGGTCCTGTGAAACCCTTCTTGGCTGCCCTCTGTCTCCACCCAGCTGAGTCAGTCACTCAGCCAGAGACATTTTGCACCCGCTGGCTCTGCCAGCCCCCATGCGTCCCTCTTCTCTGTGCAGTTGGTGGGCATCCCTTGAAGAGCTCATATTGCCATTCTCTGTCTTCAGTGTGGAGGTCACACATGGTGCTAAGGAAGGGTTGGCTGAACTTTTGCTGCCTAGTCTGTGACGTTCATGTGTCAACTCTCTGCCTCCTGCACCTGGAGCCTGTGGCCTGAGCACCGTGGGCATTCCCAAAGGAGGTCAGTAGGCCAGCAGGGGCTTCCCACCACAGGGATCGCTGTAGGGATCCTTGACAGGCTTGGAGAAGTCACACAAAAACTCTCAGCTACCCAGGCTTCCATCCCAGCCTACACAACTGTGTCCTGTGCTGAGATTAGCCCGTGAGATGAGCATGTTTTCTACTAGATGCCAGTTTTAGGAACTAGAGGAGGGCCATTAGGGAAAGACCTGCAGGTCACAGCGTCTATTCCTGGTGACATCATGCCTGGGCTGTGTTTGCTGATGAGTGTGTGCTTTTCTGTAGGTCTCAACGTCACCTTATGTGGAATGTGGTGACACGTCTCTCTTCTCCCCCAACACTGCTACTGTTCTGTGCAGCCAGGGGCTTGGGGACGGCTCTCCAACCCACTTCCTGCTTCTTTGTGCTCCAGACCCTGGCTCTCC